AGAATACAAAATACAAGGTATCATCTTTCCAGCTAGGTTTGGTGGCCACTAAAAATCCAGTAACTCTTTTTCAAGAACTTGGATATTAGAAAATGATTTCTAATATCAAAGATGAGACTTTAAAAGTGTACAAACAGAATAACCACCACGCCCGACCACTGGGAGAGGGTAAGACCTAGAAACAGGGCGCCTCCCTGGTCAGGAGAGGCACAAGGGACAAGTCCTTGAGGGCTGGGCACTAAGGACGCACTTGTACAGGGAGGGACTCCTAGCTGTGACCATGCACACACAATCCTCGCATCGGATGCTGGCAGGAGTGTACCATTACAGGAAGCCGGGGGGGGGGGGGGGGGGAGGGGAGGGCTGGCTGTTTGCTCAGCACATGCTGCGGGCACCGTCCAAGGGTCCAAGGCTCGGGGAGCTCAGCGTAGAATGCCTGACTTGCAAGGCCCTGGGTTCAATGCCCAGCACTGCAAACAAAAAGAAATCAACTCTTCCATTCCCTCACTTCTCGACTAAGGGGTTGGGTTCACAGCAGCCCATGGTGACCAGGGACTCTGATGAAAGGAAAGCTCAGGAGATGTTGGTGACAGACTATAACACTGTCAGCACTGCTGACCAACCTTCCTGGCTGGCTCAGCACTCCGTGAAATGCCTAAGCGGAGCATGCCCAGCTCTTCCTGAGAATACTATGCAGCATAGGCTGTGTGTGGTGTAACATCGGTCTGGAAGCGAAAACAGACAACTGGTCTACCACAGAAGACCCACACCCGATTCAGACAAAACCATTCTGTGAGCCTGAAGGTATAGGGCCAGTCATTGGCTGCGCAGCAGAACATGCTCAGCCAGCTCCGGCCATGGGTTCAAGGATGGTGACGGCGGAGGGGAGAATAATTACCATTATTTTTCTTCCTTTGAACTCTAGGATAATGCATGACCGTCCTACTTCCTGCCCAGCGCCCCTGTAAATATTAAAAGAAGTTGATTAAAAAACAATCCAAACTGACCCCAATAAATTTGAACTGTTTTTTCTTTTTAACAACTTAAACTATGTCCCATTAGATGGCAGCATCTGTGTAAAATATTTACAAAATTACGAAAGGGAGGAAGACTGTGAACACGGGAGGTAGATGGTAAGCCCTGGAGCTCAGGGAATTTTCAGCTGGTCCACGTGAGAGAAAGTGGGTCAGGCCTGATGAGGCCAGTGGCAATGAGCAAAGATCACACTGGGGCAGGCTGAGAGCAAAGCCGGCAGCCAGCAGGCCATGGAGAACTTTCACAGTGGTCACTGAGCACGAAGTCAAACCACTGCAAAGCTCTTTCATTTTCTTTAAGATACTAAACAAGCACTACTAGTGTGGCTTAGCTTTCCAAGCTCTGCTCACACTGTGAACGTGATCCCTCTTCCAACCACAAGTGAGGTGCAGAGGCACACACCCCCATACTTGGGTCCTGATCTAACCACTGCACTCCATGGCCACCCTCACTTCCTCCCCAGCCCCTCTCACCTCTATTCCAAGGGCTCCTCAGTGCCACCCCTGCATTCTCGAGTTCCCGATGTGTAGATGACCTCCTACCTATACCTGCAGGCCAGGCTGCTGCTCTCAAAGGCAGATCTCGAACACACAGCCTAGGCCCTGATGTCTGTCCAGATGCCTCCCAGCCCTCTGGCCTCCAACTCCATTCACAGGGCCTCTGCCCTCAGAGGTGGGCCCAAGTGGGCTCCTCAGTATACCTGGGTGTCAGTTCAAACGCCCTCTTCCTGGAGGCTTTCTCTGGATGACTTCCTCCAATGCATACTTGACAGCAAGCCACAGGCCAGCATGACACTAACAAGGACACCAAGTCTCCTTGCTATGCTGGGAGACGCACAGCAGAGACACTGTACTATTCCTGGCTGTAACTGCAACAAGGCCCTGCAAGGGGTAAACCTTAAGAGATGCTTTGATGTGTGGTGGCGCTTGTCTTTCATTTCAGCGCTCAAGAGGCTGAGGCAGGAGGATTACAGAGTTCAAGGCTCCATAGTAAATTCAAGTTCAGCCTAAACTGCAGAGCAAGACCCTGCCTCAGAAATAAAAAGATGCTTATCAATGAATAAGACTCCCAAATTATGAGCCGTGGAAATATGAGGCTATGTGAAAGAAGCCAGACAAAGATGCTACCTACTTCCTGCTCCCATAGACACGAAGTGTCTGGAGAAGGAAAACAGACCAGTAGTTACCTAGGGCCAGGCAGGCTGGAGAACTGGACAGTGTGTTCTGGAACTAGGTAGCAGGGATGGCCCAACAATTCTGCTAATACGCTAAAGGCCAGATTGCAGATTGCTATGTGAATGATAAGCTGCTACGAAACAAAAAGAGCAGACTGACTCAGCCTCCCCAGCTTCCGTAATGCTTTTCTGTGGAAGGCCAACACAGCCCCAGCCCTGCCTGCACTCTGCACTCGGGGAGCAACATGTGCTCTGCAAATTCCCCAAGCAAGGAACACGAGCCACCCGAACCTCTGCCCTGTTCCACACCTGCTGAGAGCAGCCCAGCAGTTATAACATGCCAGGGCTTTCACTTTCTTTCCGACTTGGATTATTCCAGTTACACTCTATCTAATCCATCCTTTCATTCCCTGCTACACTCAGGCAGGTCGTGTCACTGTATCTCAGCCTTGCTCAAAACCCTCTGCTGGCTTCCTGTAACTATGAGAGCCCAAATTCTTTAGTATGTTCTGTAGCCCCTCATACCATGGCCTGCCCCGTTTGCTAAGCCACAGCCAAGAGGAGACCGGCCAGACACTGGCCAGGAGTTATGAACACTTCTTCATACACGCTACCTCCTCTGCTTGGCTTCCTACCTATCCTTTAGGACTCAGCTCAAGCATCATATTCCTGGATGTGCACGGTGTCCTTCTCTTCACGCTGTTAGTTATTCCTTTTCTATCAGGAATGGTGGTGCATGCCTGTAATCTCAGCATTCTGGAGGCTGAGGCAGAACTACAAGTTAGGGACCAGCCTGAGCTACATGAGGCCTTGTTTCTTTTTCTTTTTTTTTTTTTTTTTTGTCTTTTTCTTTTTTATCGGTACCAGGGATCGAACTCTCGACTGCCTGCTTACAAGGCAGGTGCTTATGCCGCTGAGCTAAATCCCCAGCCCCCGAGGCCTTGTTTCAAAAAACCACCAAAAACTCTTTTTCCATACTCTTCTGGCACTTGGTGCAACACCTCCCTCCACTCTCCACGAACAGCTGTCACCTACTGGGCACCCACGTGGCCCCTATTCTTCATAGTATGAGGAGAAGGTTCTGGGGGTGCTGTTCTGGCCAAGTTGTCTGACTGCTATTTTAACAAATGTGAGTCCTTCTGTTTTGCACTCTTCTGCCTCCAAAGGGTGAAACTGATGAACAGAGCTGTCTTACCCATCTCCTCAGTGAATGATGCAGGGCTGGACACTTGCTCAGTTCACAAAACAGGCAGAGACAAGGGGTGCAAACTCCGCACAAGGAAAGCAGGCTGTGCCCTCAGTGGGGGCACACTCAATCTTTACTAAATGAAGGTGGATGAGAGGCACTTTCCACCTTCTTATTTCACAGTACTGAGGATTGACCCGAGGACCTTCTCACTAAGCTACATCCCAGCCCTTCTAAAATATTTTCATCATGACACGGGGTCTTGCTAGACCTCTAAACTGCCCAGATAAAGCTGAAATATGCTATCCTCCTGCTTCAGCCTCCCCAACTGTTAAGACCGCAGGTGTGTGCCACCAGGGGAAGCTTAGTTGCTGTCTCTTGAAGGATGCCATTTATGTGGCATTATGAAGAGTAAAATGTTCAAATGAGAAGAGGAACAAGGGAGGAGAAGGAGAGAAGGGACAAGAAAAAAAGGAATGAAACCATGGAAATAAAGCTTTTGCAAACAAGGAGGCATAGAGTGGTTGAAGGGAGGAAAAGCAAATGGAGAAACAAGAATATGTACCACGGCTCAGGTTCAAGTTCCCTATGATGAATGCAGTCATTATGTGTATCTAAAATGTATCAGCAAAACCAACTTTTAAAAATCTAATCGTGAACAGTAAAACATGTAAATGGCTCATCTATGGGAATAAAAGCTCCACGTTTACACTCTCTCTGCCAGGCAGCCTTCCAGGAGGTGGAAGCCCGACTCCCCTGAAGGACCGGACTCAATGTGGGGCTCCGTTTCGGTTCCTAACACCTCTCCTCTTTCTTTTATTCCGATAGGGTCTGAGCGGCGGAGGCCGAAATCCCCAGCAAGTGCGATTCACTTCCTCCTTTTCCAACACAGCTCAGTCTCGGAGACCCAGCTGGCCCCTTCGCCGCCGACTCCCACGTGTGCGCGATCCGGATTTGTGCCACCTGATAACCCCTTTCATAGGCACCCTGCGGCCTGAAATAACTTTTTTTTTTTTTTTTTGTCTTTTTCATTTTTATCGGTACCAGGGATCGAACTCACGACTGCCTGCTTGCAAGGCGGGCGCTTATGCCGCTGAGCTAAATCCCCAGCCCCGGCCTGAAATAACTTTTTTCCCCCGACTCCAACATATTCTCCTCTGAGACCGAAGAAAAATAAAAAGTCTCTTTCGACCTAGCAGCTCCTTCCGAGCCGCGCTCGAAACCCCCGAGCCGGGGCCGCGGCTGCACGCGGGAACAGGACGACGGCCAAGCCGGGCTCGCCCGCGGCCCCACCCCCGGCGCGCTGGTCCCTTACAGGGGTCGGATCAGCAGCTGGTCGCTCTCCTCTGCAGGAATTGCAGACATTCTGGAAGCCTGGGGAGACGCGTGGGCGAGAAACAAGCCAAGATCTTTCCAAACTGCAAACGGCCAGCGGCAACCAAAGCAAGAAAACCCCCCATTCGCCTAGAGATAACTTCCGGGCACGCTGGCGCTCACGGACTAGGCGCCTCCCCTAGACTTCCGGTCGGAGGACAAGGTTCCAGAAGTTCCGCCCAACAGTGAGTCCGGAAACCTAGGGCGGTCCCTGAGGACCGCGCACGCGCAGCGCCGAGGGCGTGGCTTTGGCGGACAGGGTCCGGAGGGCTGGAAAAGCTGGCGCTGGAGTTCGACCTGGAGTAGCTCCCGGGGCGCTCGGGCTCCAGGTGGGCGAGGTGGTCGTGGCCCCGGGGACGCGACTGCCAGGTGAGCGGCCCGGGCTGTCCTCGCCCGGGCCAGGCTGCGGCGCGGGCGGGAGCGAGGCCCAGGGCGGCGCCCGCAGCCAGGGCGGATGGGTGGGGCTGGGGGACGCCGGGTGTTGGGACCGCACTGTCCCCAGGTCCCTACGGGTGGGCCGGAAAATGGAGGTGTGGGGTCCTTGGGGCGGGGATCGGGCCGCCTGGGAGCAGAGTGAAGCTGATCCCCCTCCAAACCCCCTGGCCGTGGGCCAGAGTTTGTGTCATTTGCATCGCGTTCCTGCACAGTGACACGCACGTGCGAGCAGGCGAGTGTCGGTCTGAATCCCAAACCCGGCCACCTGTCCCTAGCCTGGTGACCCTGGGCTCGTCTCTGCCTCTGGGGATCTCGTTTGAGTGCCGGCTGTCCTGCTTCAGCCTCGTAGATTCGCATCAGGGTCAGCAGTTTCCGTGTACCCTGCGCTGCTGGAGGCACCTGCTAGGTGCTCACCGCTGGGTGTCACGTGGCTGTCGCCGCCCACGACGTCCTCAGGAGCCAGCGTGCTGAGTGCAGTGTGCACAGGGTGAGGGGCAGGTAAGCCATCCTTGGACAGGCTAGAGAGCGGTAGAGCTGTAAGCCGATAGCACAGCTCCTATGTGACCAGGACCAACCTCTGGGTCCCTCCGCACAACCTGGTTGTCCAAGACTGTCAGATGCCGGTCATCCCAGCCCCAAGCAGGCTGAGGCAGGGTGATCTCCATGAGCTGGAGGCCAGCCTGGGATACACAGTCTGTCTAGGACAGTGAGCTGGATTAGAACACCCTTCAGGTGCAGTCAGGTGACCTCTGTTGCTTGATCTGGTGTGGGGGCTGGAGGACCATGAGGGCAATGATTTCTGGAGCGGGAGAGTGGAGGAAGGGGCAGATCTGGAGGGAACATCCCAGTGACAGCACTCGTTGCCTCATGGACTTGCACAAATAATGCAGATGCAAGGGTGATTTGCTGGAGAACATATCTCGGAATAGCCGCAGATATCAGAAGCTTCCATAGAAGCTCTTTTCTCTGAGTTCCTGGGTTGATGTCCGAAGAAGCTGCAAAGAGCCAGGTGTGGTAGCTCATGCCTGTCTCTATATAATCTCAGCTGCTCAGGAGGCTGATGCAGACTAATCACAAGTTCAAAGCCAGCCTAGTGAGACACTCTGTAAATAAAAATAAATAGGGTTTGGGGATGTGGCTCAGTGGTGGAGCCCTTTCCTAGGAGAAGTCAAATCCCCAGCACCTCAAAAAAAAAAAAAAAAAAAAAAAGGTACAAAGACATTAGAGCAGTGATTTCCAAATCATTCTGGTATTCTAGGGACTTAATGAGATACGTTAGGATTTTACTAACAATAGGATCAGATTCTTAAAAGTCATTTAAAATCATACATATAAGTAATGCATTTATATACGTGGTCAGCTCTCCGTACCCTCAAGGTCTGCATCCTGAGATTTAATAAACCCCAGATTGAAAGCAGTCAAGAGAGTTGCACTGTAGCGAACACATATGTGCTTTTTCTTGTCATTTCCATAATGGCGCAGTGTAACAACCCCTCCCTTGGCATTTGCACCGTACTGGTGCAAATACCTACGCTACCTACGCTACGCACGATACCTACGTACGATACCTACGCTAGAGATGACTGAGTTGAGGCAGGCATGTGTGTAGCTTGTATGCAATACTTTCCTTCATATAAGGGACTCGAGCCTCCCGTGGGTTTGGTATCCACAGCCATCGTGACCTAATTCCCTTGCACATTCTGGGGGAGGGCTATGCTTGAATGTGTTCAGTATGTTGTACACCAACATGTGTGTGTATGTGTGTGTCTGAGACAGAGTTTCCCTAGGTATTCAAAGCTGGCCTTGAATTCACTATGTAGCCCATGCTGGCTACATAGGCTATGACGATCCTCCTGCCTCAGCCTCCCAAGAGCTGATGCCATCACACTTGGCTGTGTATTTTCTTTTGGGTCCATCAATTTTCTCTAACACCCTGTTCCCTGGCTTCGTTCATATGGTCCCGGCACCTATTCGGTTGTCCCTGACCTGTCAGTAATGAGTGGTAAAGTCAGATCTTCTTGCTGTTTCACAGATAAAGTAAAAATACAGAGAGCAGGGGGTGGGGGTGGGGGTGGTATGGCTGGCTCAGGAGCTTTGGGTCTGGGCTCAGACATGGCAGGTGGGCGAAAGGTGAACTCAGAGTGACGTCTACAAATACAGAGAAACCGTGAATCCCCTTATCAGTGGGGATTGAACCAGGGCCCCTGCACTGAGCTGCTGCCTCCGCTTTTTTCTTCTGAGATAGGGTCTTGCTAAATTGCCCAGGCTGTGCTCAAACATGGCAGTTGTTTCTCCTGCCTCAACCTCCCAGACTGCTGGCACAATAGGGCCCAGCTAAGAGAGAAACTTGGAGCAGGACCAGGGGCTTTCACTGACTGTGCCATCCTTCACCCACTGTCTGTCCTTTACCAGGCACGCTGCCCCCCACACAAGATCTGACCATGGCAGGGTGAGAGGGAGCCAAGGGCGGGCTGCTCTCCACAGACCCCTGGGAAACCATAAGATACAGCGGCCATAGTAAGCGCGTTTCTGTCCCCTTTGGTGAGAGGGATTCTGGGTGCTAATGTGTTCCATTGTGCTCTTCAGCCACTCTCTGTGGGTCCCAGATAGCTGGGTGGCAGCCCTTTAGTCTGTGCAATACACAGTTAACCCACCTTTCTGAAGCTCCTGGAGGGTAAGGCAGGCCCTTAAAAATGTTTTCGAGCACTTGGCATGGCAGCGGTGGTAACTCTGGCATTTTTGGAGGCTGGGGCAGGAGGATCTGGAGTTCAAGGTCTGCTTGGGCAATTGAGTAACATAGCGACACCTTGGGTCAAAATTTTAAAAAGAAAAAAGGTGGGCAAGGGTTTGGAGCTCAGCGTAAAGGCTCTGGGTTCAATCCTCAGTGCCACACATACAAAAAGATAGAATCTGGGAGCAAGTGAGGTGTTTGTGGCACACACCTGTGATTCCAGCACTCAGGAGGCTGAGCCAGGAGGATCACTGAGAGTCCAAGACCAGCCTGAGCTACATTCAAGACCCTGTCTCAAAAAAAAAAAAAAAAAAAAAAAAAACCTGTGGAGCAAATGAATATGTCATGGCATAGACATGTGAGGACAAAATAAGTGTGTTCGGAAACTCTGGGATCTACACACTCTGCAGGTTAACTGTGCAAGACTAGTAATCTGCACACGTGGGAAACAGGCACACGTAGGTCATGCATCCTCAGCCCTGGTCTTTTAGAAAGTACATCTAAAGCCGGGATGTAGCTACAAGGTCCTGAGTTCGATTTCTGGTACCAACAAAAGGAAAAAGTAGATCTATACAAAAGAATAGACGCACAGGACAAATGGAACAAGCCTCTGACATGACATCCTCTCCTTCCCCGGCCTTGCTGTCCCTGGCAGGTCCTTGAAGCAGCTTTTAGGTCAGGCTATTCCGGGATTTCAAGGGGAAGCACTCGGCCCCGCAGTTCCACAAAGGGAGATAGGAACTGGGTCGCAGCGGCTGGGTTGGTAAATGAGCTCATAAGAAGCCTTGCTGGCTCTGTCCCCGAGTCAGCTGGAGAGGGAGTAACCCTGAGTGTTTTGGGAGCCAAGACATGCCGGGGCCTTGTGCAGGTTAGACAAGCACCTGACCAAGAGCTCCAACCCAGCCCAGCTTTCTGTAATTTAAAAGGAAAAAAAACACCAGAATCCAATAGTACTCAAGAGCAAATAGTTAAGTAAAAGCAATACACTTGGGATCGAACCCAGGGCCATCAAATTGCTAAACTGCACAGGTAGGGCTGAAACTCGACATCCTCCTGCCTCCGCCTTCCAGGGTGCAGGGATGACAGCTGGGCACCCCACACTCAGCTTTCATGTCATGTTTCTTGATGTCAGCATAACTGACCTTTATTCTCCTAGGGGATCTTCCCTGTGGCACACTATGATGAAAAAATGTTCCGGAAAGGCAAAAAGCGACACAGCAGCAGCAGCTCCCAAAGCAGCGAGGTCAGCACAAAGAGCAAGGTAGGGAGAACTGTGTCCCTGGGCTGCTCTGTGTCCCTGGGCTGCTCGGCACACGTCCGCCCCCCTGTGATCCAGGCTGCCAAGGCTCACGTTTGACACCAGAGATGCTCGCTTTGGTTTAATTTCATTGTGTTTTGGCAGATTTTTTTTTTTAAATTCTTAAGTCCATTCAGCTATGTGTGGTCTCATGGGAACAAACACAGATGTTGAGTTTTGATCTGATGGAAACAGATATGTGAAGGGGCTGAGTCTCAGGAGTCCCAGGGTTCACTGTGCGTGTGACACTCACTTCTCTGGACGGCTGGTTAACACCTGTAGCTAAGGCTCTATAGATGCCGTTTGAAGAAGGAATGCATGGATTTAACTTAGGCAAAGCGAGCTTAGTGATCACAAATGTTCACAAAACATTATTGAGACATGTATGTAGTTCTCCATGTATGTAGTGCAGGCTGGCCTTAGAACTCACTTATGTAGCCTAGGCTGGCCTCAGATTCATGGTGATCCTCCTGCCTCAGCCTCCTGAGTACTGGGATGACAGGCATGCACCACCAGTTTGTAAGGAAACTATGAAATGATAGTTCTTCTGTGGGACAAAGCACTTTGTGATGTTTTTGTTGTTTTGGTACCGGGAACTGAACTCACAACCTTGCACTTGCCAGGCAGGCACTTTTGCCACTGAGCCCTCTGATGTGTTTTTTAAAAACGTACCCTGACAGCTATGCTGGTGTCACCTCGCACGGGGGTGGAATTAGATTGCCAAGTTCCAGGTGTTTACTGCCTGTGAACTTTGGGCCCGTCACTCTGCTCTCCTCTGTTCTCTTTCCTATGCTCTGCCTTGCTTTCTGCATGGGATTCATTTGGGGTTCTGTAGAAATAACCTCAAAGCACACTGTGGATTTCTAGAGAATACAGATAACGCAGCTTATAAGGATGAGAGGTCATGGCTTAGGCTGACAGTGCTGTGGGGCAGGAAGAGCCTCTGGGTGTATATGTTTTGCTGTGTTCGATTTTGGCTTTTGTGGGGGATGCTGAGACAAAGTCTTGCTTATACAGTTCAGGGTGGCCTTGAACTTAAGGAAATCCTCCTATCTCAGCCTCCCAAGTGCTGGGATCCCTGGTGTACGCCTCTGCACCCAGCTATAGCATGTGTTTTGAAGTTCATTCTGGAGTCTGTCTTTGGGAAAACCCGTGGCTGTCACTGTCCCTGAATGACTGGCCTGCAATCCTATGTGTCAGCTGGACATCATGAGGAATTTCAGTGCATTTAGGGTTGATCTCAAGAGCAGCCAGGCCACTGACTGCGGCTCAAGCCCATGTTTCTCAGTCCGTAGATTCCAGCCTCGGGGGTCTCTCGCGCTCCAGCACTGTGGCCAGCCTCGACACGGACTCCACCAAAAGCTCAGGTGGGTGGACGGCTCTGCCCAGGTCCTGGCCATGGTCTCTCCCTATGCCCACAGTTCCACTTTGTGGGGTGCCAAGCCCTGTGTGCCTGGGTTCTCCCTCCTGCTGCCTCCCAAAGTGCAGAAACAGCCAAACTGGGGAGTGGGAGGGAGACGTCACCAGGGGCTCCTTAGTGAGAGCTGGAGCCCAAGTGCTGCCTGGCAGCCCTTCGAGGTTTGCAGAGCATGAATCGAGGTGACTGAAGGGGAGGGGCCACTCACAACGAAGGTGGCCTTGAGAGACGCAGATTATGGTTGCAGATGTCACAGATACTACAGCCACTGGAATCAGTCACTCATCGGGTACCCATAGGCTGCTCCTCCTCTGAGCTCTTATCAACACGTAGCGAGTCACTGGGAATATTCACTTTCTCTCACTATGTTCACCTCCTCACCTGGAGCAGGGTCCCAGCCAAGCAGCCTGTGAAGGAGAATGCTGGAGTGTGAAGTCCATTACCTTTACTTCCAGGTGTCTTTAAAATACTAGAAATGGTGGCGTCATTTATTTTTTTTAACATTTCCTAAAAGCAATCATGGAGTATTTCCTTAGCGTGGTAGATCTTGAAACCATTTGTGGTAATGTTTGTGTTGACTAGCTTTCATAGCAGGTGGGGACTTTCTCTCTGGCATTAGTGCATCTACAAAAAAAATATAACCATTGGTGCTGGGCAGGGTGGCACACGCTTATCATCCCAGGACTCAGGAGGCTGAGGCAGGAGGATGGCAAGTTTGAGTCTAGCCTGGACAATTTAGGGACTTAACACCCTGTCTCATAATTAAAAAATAAAAGGAGGGGGTAGGAGTATAGCTCAGTACAAACCCTGACTTCAGTCCTGAGTACCGAAAATTACTGAAGATCACATTCTGGTGGTCTGCCCTGACTCTGGGATGCTCCGGGATCGTATTTCTCTTGAGGTCAGTGACAAGTTCCCTGCCCATTTAGGGCACAGCAACAGTAATTCAGACACCTGCGCAGAATTCCGAATAAAGTATGTCGGTGCCATTGAGAAACTGAAAGTCTCCGAGGGAAAGAATCTTGAAGGACCACTCGACCTGATAAATTATATAGATGTTGCCCAGGTAAGAACATTTTTAAAAGCTTTCAATTTAAAGCCTCTGGTTAGGAGATGACACCAAGCACTAGAGATGTACTCTCAGCAGCCACTGGGGGGGGCGCTGTCCTCACTGCCACGCGTCCTGTGGTCTTGGGCAGTTGCAGATGCCCTGGACGCTTCTTTAAGGCCATCAGGCAAAGCCTCACCGTAGCTGTCCGCTGTCTGCCTCTTGAGAGTGAATTCATAGCAGTATAGACCCAGTTACTCATTGACTGTCTCCAGGGCGAACGGAGGGGAGTGGGTTTCAGAAATCTACCTGGATCAAAAACACAATGACAAAAGCGTCCTCCTGCAGGGACAGTCGGAGTGAGAATTCAGGCACAGCAAAGCTGCCAAAGCCAGATTTGTGCACTTACCGGGGTGGAGGTGGACAAGTGTGATGTCCATGGTTAATCCTAAGAAAGCATACGCTCTCGGGTCAGGGTGTTAAGACATGCTCTATATCCCTGGAAGTAATGGAAATTATAATCAGGGAACAAACCCGTGGTCTGCTGTATTTATTCCAATTCGTTATCCCAGTATTTGGTTGGGACTGGGTGATTTCAACCAAGTAGCAGCACCCAGTTTAATCTAAGTGAAGTCCAAAGCAGGAAAGATTGTCATCTCCTCTCAAACTACAGGGCACCTTCCTTCCTGAAACACCGACACATTCCTCACCTTGCTAGAGGATTTTTGGGTGCTGAAATGCCGCTACCAACAGACAGTAGGGTAGTGATTACTGTTATCCTTGGTTTGGATTTTTGAAACTGCATGAAACCTGATAAGCAGGAAGTTCCTGTAATATTGTGAGGAGCCAGGGGTTAGGGTACTTGGACAGAGTTCATTTCCTGTCACTCACTATTTCAGAAAAACCTTTCCCATACGGGCCATCTCCTGACTGTTGTGTATTCTGAAGACAAATTAGGCCATGTTCTGACTTGTGAGGCATCCAGATAACCTGCTGGGGAAGCCACTGGCTGTCACGTCCTGATTTGTTTCCGAACAGCTCACAACGCTGGTTAGCCAAGGTCCTCCGCAGTCAGCTGCCCAGAGCCTTGGGCACGGGGACACCAGCCACACCTGTCCGTCTGGGTAGAGTGGAAAATGACTGAGAAATAGGGTCCCAGGGGCCCACTTCCTGATCATTTCAGGCCCTGACACCTCAAGTGCTGTACTTTAGAATCTAAATAAAGACTTTTGTTCTAGTGAGAGATCCAACAGTGGTATCTCAGTTTGGAACTAGGGCTCATACCAAGATACAGAACAGTATGCAAAAGTAGACTGATGTGAAGCCGGGCATGGTGGCACAGGAGCTGTAATCCCAGCCCTTGGGAGCTGAGGCAGGAAACGACAAGTTTGTGGCCAGCCTGAACTCTGTAGTGAGACCCTGTCTCCGAAAAAAAAAACAAAAACAAAAGCAAAGGAGAGTAGACTGCTGTCAGTTCTGCTCCGATCTGTGGGCTGTAAACTTTCTGAAATGTTGAGTTTTTCTCACATCCCTTGGGAGAGAAGTCTTGCTTGGCTAATAGGTACTCACAGTCTCCATAGTGGGCCTGTAACCAGCAGACAGCTGCAGGGACCAGTCTGACCTGAGCCCGAATGAAGTTTTAATCTGTTTTTACTTTAAAGCAAGATGGAAAGTTGCCTTTCGTCCCACCAGAGGAGGAATACATCATGGGGGTTTCCAAGTACGGTATCAAAGTCTCAACATCAGACCAGTATGTAAGTACTGCAGTGTATTAAAGACTCTTAGGAAGTGGGCATTCAGGCCTGCGAGGGTTTACTGGGAGTTAGGCCTCCCATTTGAGCGGCTGGCTGCCAGCTGGGCTAGACCACGGCCAATTTCTTAGGGTGAACACACCCAGGCCACACAGTGCACTCCACCCCCATTCTCCTACTGCCTGCAACCCCAGCTCCCTGGGAGGCTGAGGCAGGAGGATCCTAAGCCTGGCTGCCAGCCCAGTCACACAGTGAGACCCTATCTCATACAGAATAATAAAGGGCTGGTGGAGCTGAGGGGTACGGTGTTTGCCTAGCATGCCTGAGGCCCTGCTTTTATCTTTGTACCATAAAAATGAAAGAGAAGCAGCTATCACCTTGCAAAGTGGCAGATATGAGCATGTGGCTCCCATCCTCCTGTCCTGTCTTTCTGGGGTCTGAGTAGGAAGGTGTGACCTGGAAGACAAGTTGTCCCCACCACCCAGCATCTCAGCGTCCCCTGCTGAGGAGTTCGAGTTTGGTTAAAGTCTAGCAACACTTTCTTCTCCGAGGTGCTGGGGATTGAATCTAGGGTGTTGTCACTGAGCTACAGCCCCTTCACTGAGACAGGGTCTGAGTTGCCCAGGTGGGACTCAAACCTGTGACCCTCCCGCCTCCGCCTCACTCTGCACCGTGACTGGTGCCAGGGTGGGAGGACACGGGCCACCCTGACGGCCGCCGTCCCCACAGGCTGTGCTGCACCGGCATGCGCTCTACCTGATCCTGCGCATGGTGTGCTATGACGACGGCCTGGGCGCGGGCAAGGGCTTACTGGCTCTCAAGACCACGGACGCCAGCAACGAGGAGTACAGCCTGTGGGTCTACCAGTGCGGCAGCCTGGTGAGGGCCGTGGCCCGGGGTCCCCAGCCCCAGCTCCATGTTCTGCTGAGGGGTACAAAGACATGTGGGTGATCTGGGGTGGGAGCGTGCAGGTTTGGGAGGCACGGAGGGGACAGATGGGGAGAAACTGTCAGCCCTCGCTCACCAAGTCCTCTCTCATTGCGCAGGAGCAAGCACAAGCCATCTGCAAGGTTCTGTCCAGTGCGTTTGACTCCGTGCTGACCTCGGAGAAGCCCTGACCCTGCTGCCTGCGGTGCCAGTGGCCGGCTACTTTCCACACTGTGCCTCAAATCCGTAACCTGAGCTCGTAGGGAGGCAGGGACAGCACCCCAGTCTCACAGACACCTGTCATTTTTTAAATATTGAAATGCACAATGAGTTAACCCTCAGTGGGCTATTTTTAGGGATAAAAAGAAATCCTTGAGGCTGGGGATATAGCTCAGTGGCACAGCACCTGCCTGGCAAGCATGAGGTCATGAGTTCAATTCCCGGTACCAAAAAAAAGAAAAAAAATTCTCATTTTAAAATGCAAGTAAGTGCCACAAAAGTTCATTCCAATCACACTGAGGCCCTGAGGATGACAGTGAAACTGCCCGTGTGGCCACAGGTTGGGCTGCAGCAGTGAGGGACACCAGCAACCTGAGTCCCGTGGAGGAAGTTTTCACTGTCAGGGTGGAAACCCTGGTGCTGGAAGCATCGTAGATGTCCCCTCATGCTAGCAGTCAGTATTTGAAGGATCTCATGGACAGCACACTAGGGTATGCTTTTTTTAAAGAAAGGATATCAACACTTTGGGTTTTTTTTTGTTTTGTTTTGTTTTTTGTCTTTTGGTACCAGGGACCAAACTCACAGCCTTGCACTTACCAGGCAGGTGCTTCTGCCACTGAGCTAAATATCCGAGTCCCATATCAATACTTTAAAGATTAAAAACAGAATTAAAACCATGTCCATTTAAAAGTACTTTATTTTTCTTCTAGTCGAATGACTAGTTAACGAGGAGTAAACTTTATTAGACATGCTCTAATTATAAATCACTGCATTAGGAACAATGAAAATAATCAATTTCGGTTATACAATATATACAGTTGCGCTGCACCTAGCCCGAAGTCATTGAGTGAGTGGACTGAATATAATACATCTCCAACAGCGTCGCCCGGGCCACGCAGCAAGCCGCCCACCTGCCACCGCGGCCCCTCAGCCAGAGCCCCGGAAATGGCACAGAGATGGCAGAAGCCCGCGCTGAAGTTCATGAAATGTAAACTTCGAATATAAATATTTATCTACAATGTTCTCTTCCTTCTAAGGTCTGCTTTGTTTTTTTCGCTTTCTTCTTTCTTTCTTTCCAATTGCCAAGAGCAAATAACTAAGAAAAGGCATGGTGGGGAAGTGAAAAGAATTCCCCTGGGTGAGGACTATTGCTGGCTCCCGGGAGCGCCCCCTGGGGGCTGGCTGGGAAGCGCTTCCCAGGGGGTGGCTACTTTGGGACTGGAGATAAGGGAGGATTCCTCAGATCACTGCACTGGGCGTCACAACCATGCAGGGCAGCCAGCCGTGTGCTCAGGCTCTTAAATCTGAGAAAATGGACTCAACAGAGGGTTCAGACATCAACAGGAAGTAACCGGTAGTGAACTCAGATGTAGTGCTTTAAAAAAAAAAAAAGACTTTAAACATTGACCTGGAACATTGAAAGACAAAAAGTGATGGCTCTTGGACATCGCAAAATATTCCAGTCCTGTCTTTACCAGAGCAAACAAAAACACAGGGACAAAGAAAGCTTTAAACGCTGCACACTTAGGGGAGCCTTGCATTGTGAGGACATGCTGCTTTGATCCAGTCTGCCATCAGACAATACGGTGTAGGTGCTGCCGCCTCACTCGCCAAGCTACATCACCCCTCTGTGTTTATGATGCGAGTGGGCACTGCACACCTGCCCATCCCCAGAGCATCGAACCTTCCAGCCTCTGACTCTGACGCTGACCATGTGGAGACTGGACAGTCGAGTTCATTACGCTCATGAGCTGGGATTTTCTTGGCGCACAACCCCCCACCCTGGTAGTGTAAGGTAAGGTGACACCGATGGTCTTGGCAGGATAAGAATGTGGAACACTGTATTCCTGACAGTTCTCAAGTGCAAATGGACAGATGCAGGTGAAGACAGGAACAACCATTCTGTCCATGTCCTCTACAGATTCAGGTTGCTAAGCTAGGGGTGTCCTTGGGGGCTACACAGGTTAGTCAGCGACATATACGATAGGAAGTGGCAGGCACACAGCTGCTGTGTCCTGGGGGACCCAAGGCAGCAAAAGCTGAACCCCGAAAACATGTAAGCAAGGCAGAGAGACAGTTCTGCAGCTCATCCAGTGGTCTTTGCCCAAGCCAGGAAATGGCTTGTTAAAACCCAGAGGATGGATTGCCATTTCTGGAGGTCATCAGGGGCTGCCAGAAGTTTGGCCGAGTATGATTGTTCCAACACAGATCACACGCATGCAGGGCAGGTTACAAAACTGGAGGTTCATGTCCCTGAGCTACAGACACTGACTGGGTGGGTTGCAGAGTGGGTGTCTTTAAAGCTGAACTGATGGGGATTCCTGGGCCTGGCTGTGACATGAAACTTTCTTCACAGGCAGTGTCATCTAGAGGTCACACAATTTTCACATGCCATAAACATTTTCATATCCTCCTTTTATGTCAGTGGCCCCCAAGCCTCATGCAATTATGCACTCAACCAAATCTAATGTTTGTGATTGCTGTCTAGTGCTTGCTGTCTAGTGCTTGGATTGATGGTGTGAGTGGTACACTACCTAGGGGTGGAGCCAGCATACAGTATAATGACAGGAAGAAGGTCTCTCTCTTGCCTGTTCATAGCGGCCATGAACGATGGCCCCACTGAGTAGGGACAGAAATCTCTAAGAACTATAAGAAATAAACCTTTCCTTCCCTAACTTTGGGTGTCAGGTATTTTGTCTGTGACGAGTAAAACGTAACTAAGAAATCCCCCCGCCCCAATCCCACCAAGATTTGAATTCAGGATGTTTGCCCTAAGCTTACCTTCCTGGCCCTTTTTTCATTTTTTGATACGGGGTTTCAATAAGTGGCTAAGTTGCCTAGGCTGTGGGCAAACTTGGTATCCCAATGCCTCATCCTCCGCCTCCCAGAGTGCTGGGATGACTGGTGTCTGTCAGCATGCATGGCTGCTGTGGATTTTTATTTAGAGTGGCAGTTTATTAGCATCCTAAAATAGAAACTCCAGAATGTGAGACCTAGGAAAGCAGGAAAATTTCCCAATTATTTTCGTTTCAGCATTTTTAGGGTTAGCTAATTTTGTTGATGCCAGATCTTGGTTATGTAATTCCAATAACTTTTCAGTGCACCTTAGGAAATTCCATCTTTCCTAATTGAAGTATAGTAACATTTCATGAGAACTGCAAACGTCCAGGCTGAGCCTGGGATTGGCAGCTGAGGAGGGAACCAGTCAGTCAGCGATAAAGTGCACGAAGGACACAGGGAAAGCTCCTTTGCGGCTGGGGTCTCCCTCAAGGTGGCCGATCTGGAAGGACCAAGGCTCAGGGTTACAGAGGTGCCCAGCGTGACGGCGTCCTGCGCTCAGCAGGCTGGTGGGGAGGGAGCCTGGCTGACATATGCTTTTCCACCCTTCCAGAGAGACTGGGGAATCTTGGCCATGGTGCCCTGGAGGAGGACTCAGGCTGGAACACAGTGGGGGCCCCACTCGGGATGGGGACTAAGGCTGGAATCCCAGGGCCCCAGGATCTCCATCTCCCCATTGCCCCTGCCATAGCCCTAGCCAGGCTCTGCCCTGGAGGCTGCCATTCTCTCGCCCCCTCATCCAGCTCTGGGGCATGGTCTGGACACTGCTGACCACCGCCAGACCAGATCAGGCCAGGCCCTTGGAGATAGTATTCAGGCAGGATGCCAGGCCCCTTGGATGGCGCAGGTGAGCGGGCTCCAGATAGGAGGGGGGCGCATTGCGACTCACCCACCACTCCTGGTCCTCCTCCCCATCCACGACAATCACGTCACCCTCGGAGAAGGTCAGCTCATCTGGATTGTCAGCCACGCAGTTGTAGAGCGCTTTTACCCGCTTAGGCTTTGCCTTGGTCTGTGCCGGGATGGGAAGACCAGAGGTTGAGGGGTGAGTCCTGAGCAGAGAAGCCTGTCCCCTGCTGGGCTCCGGGTCTGGGTCCTGCCCAAGCCCAGGAGCCCTGACTTTGAGGTAAGCAGCTCAGTGAAGGAGGGGAAGGGGAGCCCCAGGCAACACCAGCCCTGGGCAGAGCCAGAGATAATGAAGCAGGCTCTCAGTGGCCGCCAGGGACAGGAGAGAACCCAGCATGCCCTGACCGGAAGGCCCCAGGCCTCATGGTTTGGCCAGGGAAGGAGAGCAGGGGTCACTCACCGCCTGAGACTTCCTGGGCATAGGCGCAGGTGGCTGCAGGGGTGCAGTGCTAGACAGGGGACCCACAGCTTCTGTCCAGAGAGACCCCTGCATTAGCACCAGAGGCAGGACCTGCCCCAAGTGCCTCATGGCTCACACCCCGGACTGAAGTAGTGACCACAGGAACCGAGGTCAGGCCTGACCTAAAGGCACAAAGGGAGAAGACCCCCAAACCCCAGAGACCCCTCTGCCTTTCCAGTGTGTGTGCAATAGGAACTCAAGCAAAGTTCCGATGCACAGCAAAGAGGAGACCCTGAGTTTAGAGCAAGTGCCCAGCCCTAGAGAGGCCAACGGTGGCCAGGGCTGAGCCTGGGCTCTGCGCTCCACGCTCCATGGCCACGCAGAAACAAAGCCAGCCCTGTAGCAGGTAATCAACGGACAAGACAGAAGGGAACGCACAGGAAATGGACAGGGCTCTTTCCCAAAGTGGGCAGCAGAGAGGGGGAGTAAGAAGAGTTAAGATGTTTGCGTGCACAGACCAACTACCCCCGGGACTGGACCATCAGGTACTGCAAATGTGGCCAATAAAAATAAATGACAGTTACCTGGCCCTCTCGGCTGGCCTTTGCTGCCCAGCAGGGTTGGCTTGTCGGTCCTGCAGAGAAGGAGAAAGCAAACTTACTGATGGGAGGGCCACTGCACCCGCCCTCACCCATGATACACATAGCCACCCAGCCTCTGTGCTCCTCTTCCTGGAGAAAGGATGGAGGGCCTGGAGCAGAGTGCTGGGCTGTAATCCCTAATCCTAAAGCCAGGACTTCTCCAAATCACCCCAGGCTGCATCCTCTTCTGCTCAGCCCTCCCAGGAAAGCCAGGACCAGGACCTGGCCCAGACCCTACCACAGACAGGAAGCAGGGGAGCTCTGAGTCCTGCACAGCAAGCAAAGGGCAGTCTGAAGACCGGGAGCCCGGATACAGGGGCTGCTTGCCGGCTGGGACACCAGCTCTGTCAATTCAACCTAAAGGGGGCAAGGCAGCGGGCTCTGTCTGCGGCTGCCCAGGGCACCGGAGGCTGGAAGCCAGGCAGGGTTCTTTCTACCGTACCTCCTTCCCAGCTGCCCAGAATGCATCCACCTGAGTCTGCAGTATCAAAATGAAGGCAGGGTGCAGTGTTGATGGTATAGTGGTGAGCATAGCTGCCTTCCAAAATGAAGGCAGGGAAAACATGATGCTGGCTTTTTGTTTTTTGGTACCCAGGATTGAACTCACAACCTCAAGCTTGCCAGGCAGGTGCTTATACCACTGAGCTCAATTCATGGCCCTTACCCTTTTTTTTGTTTTTTTTGAGACAAGATCTTGCTAAGTAGCCCAGGCTGGCCTTGAATTCAGCAATTCTCCTGCTTCAGCCTCCTGAGTGCTGGGATTACAGATGTGCACCACCATGCCCAGCACAATTTTACTTTTATTTTCAAGGAACTGAAAAGGTCTAAAAGTGAGGCCCACCATCTCTGGGTGTACACGCCTCGGAGAACACAGTCAGGATGACCCCAACTACAAGCACACCCGCAAGCCCCCATCAGCAGCCCCTTTCCTCAAAGGGTCAGGCGGAAATTTTTCAGGCCTTGTAGGTTGCGAGGCTGACTTGCTGTGGCAGCTCAGCAGCCACAGATGCCTCGCACATGGTGGGGCCATGGCCCCAGCAGACCTCATCCTCGCCTGGAGGTTCAGCTTCACGCAGTTCTCCTGCGCCCTCTGGAAGTCTCCTTCTGCCTTCTTCCTACCATTTCTGTATCCAGTAGTCATTTGGACCTCGCAGACCACGGAGAAACAGGCAGCGGTTTGCACTCAAGAAACAAACACCATCCATCAGCCCACGGGCAAAAGTACGGGGGGTGGGGGACTCTGGTGCTCTTTTGATGATATGGTTGACGGATTTTTCTTTTTCTTTTTCTTTTTTTTTTTTTTTTGGGTCTTTTTCATTTTTTATCGGTACCAGAGATCGAACTCATGACCGCACACTTGCAAGGCAGGCGCTTATGCCGCTGAGCTAAATCCCCAGCCCCCAGTTGACGGATTTTTCCCATGGGTGAATTAACATGGCGCTGCACTGAGCCTCCTGGGGCATGACTTCCAGCCTTCTCCATAGTGCACAAATTAAATCTCCTGTTTTCATGAGCGCCAGTGTTCCTCCAATCAGCTGTCAACACGTCATTCCGCCTGCCCCCTTTAACTCACCCTCCCCCCTCCGTCAATTCCAAATAAAGCCCCCCACCCTTTTCTTGAACCTTCCAGAGGGCGTTTGCCACTCTTTGGCAGCCTTTCTGAGGCCGCAATAAAGTCCTCTTTTCTTTTTTCTCTTCTTTCTTTCTTTCTTTTTCTCTTTCTTCCCTTCCTTCCTTCCTTCCTTCCTTCCCTTCCCTTCCTTTCCCTTCTTTTCCCTTCCTTCCTTCCTTCCTTTCTTTCTCCCTTTTCTCTCCTTTTGACTCTAGCAAACAACGGTCTCCCATGGGGTCCTTCCGGAATGGAACTGACAACGGGAGCCCTGCTGCTCAGTGTTGTCACCAGCTCTGTCGTCCTCCTAACTCCCACCACCGGTTCCGCCTCTGCAAGGACATAGAAGGTGGCCAGACCACTCCCCTTCTTGGGGTATCACCTATGCCAGGTTGGGCATCCTATGTGCAGGGCACTGTGGCAAGTGCCTGGACCTCATGCAGAGCTCTGAGACACAACTCGGCCTCCCCAAGGACAGCAGCTTGAGAGCCCTCATCAGGGGACAGCATGAGGGGCCACAGAAGGGTGCTGGAGGCCCAGCCCTCTGGAGGCTGAGGCAGGAGACTTCCATGGGCTCATGGCCAGTGTGAGTTCAAGGCCAGCCTCAGCTATGTACCCAGACCCTGTGTCAAAACACATACACACACACACACACACACACACACACACACACACACACACACACGAGGCAGGGGAGGAACGGCCCATCACTGGAAACCCTTGGGCATCAAGGCAGGATGGGGTGTGTGTTTAACTCACCCAGGCGCTGGCTTCTTCTGCAGCAAGCGGCTGGGCGGCTGGGGGGGCAGGGGCTTGCTCTGCGAGGCTGTGGACGGCCCAGCCTTGCTGGCCTGGCCTAGGGCTTCCAGCACCCCAGGCGGCTTGGCCACGGAAGGGGGTGGTGTAGAGGTCAGGGGATCTGCGGGAGAGAGCAGAGTGAGGTGCAGGGTCGGCCCAAGCCTGGAGGTCTCTCCTCCTCCCAGTGGCTTCCCAGGATGTGCGCCTGCCTGACCCCTTGCCGGTTCTCTGAAAACCAGGATCACAGCAGCTTGGGCCACCAAATAAGAGCCGGGGGTGGTGCGGGCAGCAGTAGGAGGCTGAGTCTGGATCTGACGCCAGCCTGGCCCCTGCCTCAGGGAGCAGGACCTCTGCCCGAGCTGCCCTGGCACCAACCAGACCCTCCCCATCCTACCTGGCTAGAGACACCTCCAAGGGGAAGGGATGCTCTCGAGAAAGGGCAGGGCCCCGCCCTCTGAGGACAGAGGAGCACCTGTCCTCTGAGTGTCATCTGAGCGCATGGCACCTGTCTCAGGTGGGAGCTAACACACAGGTGAGGACCAGTTGGTGAGAACTAGGCCTTGGGTGACCAAAGTGGAACCGAGGGGAGGGAAAAACGAAGGGCTTGTCTGCGGCCTTTCTTTTCTTTCCTCCTTTTCTACTCTATCTTTTATTTTTCCTGGAGTTTTTTGAGACAGGATTTCATTATGTAGCCCAGGCTGGCCCTGAATTCACAGAGATCCTCCAGTCAGTCTCAGCCTCCATTCAGGTGTGAGCCACCACGCCTGGCTCCCTTTTCCACTTTAAACCAAAAAGCAGACTCCAGCCCCTGAGTTAGCTCAGGGACAGCAGCCAGAGAGGCCGGCTGAGTCCCTGCTGATGGCCCGAGTTTCTCCTGAGTCTGGCTCCCATCCCTACCTGCCCCGTGCAGTCTCCTGAACACAATGTCCCTGGCTCTGTGACCAGTGACTGCTCACACAGCATTGAGAGCGGCTGGGCCACTTGTAAATTTTCTGGAGACAGTCTGTGTCCAGGTCAACCTGGGACTCATCACGTAGCCCAGGTTGGTCTTGAACTTTTGATCCTCCTGCTTCAGCCTCCTGAATGCTGGGGTTACAGGGTTCCCCACCATGCCTGTTTAACTATGTGAAGGAAGCCTTGGCCTGGGAGTCCTCTCTGCTTGGGAAGCGGGGACACCCAGACCTGCAGGCCTCCCCTGCACCCTGAGACAGAGAGCCCAGCCCTGGGGAAGGATGATTTCCCCATATTTGGGAGCAAGGTCTCTGTCCAGGAGATGGTGATAGCAATGACCATCCCCAAACACTGAAAATCACCACATGGACAGAGGCAAAGGAGGCTCTGGGGTAGGGGTGCAGGACCAAGTGCTACTGAAATGCTCTGCAGGGCAGAAGAGAGCAGGCCACCAGGGGTGCGGTGGGGGCAGAGGCTGGAAGAGTGGAGCCGCCCAGATATGCACGTGTGTGCACATGTGCCTGTGTGTGTGTGTGCACGCACATACTTGCCCCGAACTGCCTCCTGACTTGTGCCCCACTGGCAAGAAAGGAAAAAAAAAAAAACGTACTGGTCGATGTCACGCGAAGAGGGGGCAGCGGTGGGTGGACAGCTGGCGGATCTGATGAGGATCGCTGCCTGCTGACCCCGTCCACACCTACAGAGTTTGTCTTCCACGGGGCGTTAACCGAGGAGGCTGTCTGAACTGATCCCGTGCGCACACAGGCACGCACACACACGCACACACAGGACAGAAACAGAAACAGAACACTGCGTTATTGACCCTCTCCCTTACAGGATGGCCACTGTGACCCTCCTTCGGCAGCAGACAGGACCCTGCGCTATCTGGAAGCCTGACGGGCCAGGTGACATTCCCTGCTGACCTTCTCAATCTGTCAGAGTCCATCTATTGACTATTGATGTATCTTTGTGTCTGTAACCTCAGGCTGGCCTGGAACTCCCTATGGCCCTCCTGCCTCAGCCATTACCTCAGACTCCTGCCTGACAGATGTGAGCCACCTCAGACTCCTGCCTGTCATTTCAAGTTCCGATTTCGCTTCACCGAAGCAGCATGGGAGCGCTCTCCTCTGCATGGTGCACATGGTGCCTGTGCAGTCCCTGAGTGGGGACAGGGATGCACTCAGCCTCCAGACACCGGCCATGTATCTGTGGGATGCGCCATGAGGACTGCTCCTACCGTCAGCCTGGGACAATGACTATGGACTGGCCTCAAAGCTGCCTGCCCTGCCCAAGGTCCTCGCCCAGCCTGGCTGGATGCTGTCCCGGGGCCATACGGACTACATCCTGGGCCCACATGACAGGTTCATCGTTGTCACTCTAAGTAATAAGTAGGACCATATGTCTTGGGTCCCCAAGACAGCCAAGACCATGGGACCTGGCCACACTGCCGAGGACCTGCAGGGCGACGGCATACAGCAGCTGTGAGCCCTACCAGCACTGCCTCTGTATTCCCAGGCCACCACACCTTCACAGGACAATCCAAGGAGTCCTGTGCCACAGGCACCGGGCCACACAGCGGCCACCACAGCTGGTGCCAACTCCTTGGAGGCTCAGACACCCCTAAGCCCAAGTGGCCCCTGCAGGGCCCCAGAGCCCCTGCCGGCCACTGCCCATGCCTGCTCCCAAGCACCAGCCACCAAGCCCTGCCTTGGGACAAACCCCTTCACCTTCAGGGAATTTGCGGAAATGGCTGAATAAAGGTGACAGGGAAGGGTGAGCGGCTGGCACTTTAGGCTCAGCGGTCCTCAGACGGCCCTGCATCTCACATGGGCAGGGTGGAATCCCTGAGTTCCTGTCTCAGTCCACAGGGACCTCAGGGATAGTGGGTGAGAGCCCCTGAGTTGGCCCAGATGCAGGTGGAGGGGAAGAAAAGGAGGAGCCACAGTGTGGAGAGAGGGGAGAGGAGAAAGACAGAAAAACGGTGGCCAGCGACACAATACAGTGTCCCACCAGCTCCATGGCCACCCATTGCCTGGGCAGCCCCAGGGCATCCAGGGCACCTGGCTGCCACCCCTACCCCGAACAACAACTACAGCCTCCCTAGCATCAGGAAAATGATGAACTCTTTAGGAAGCAAAGGGCAAAGGATTCCCCAGCAGGCATCTGAGATCACTCAGTTGGGGGAAAAGCAGCGACAAACTCCCGGAAGCCCAAACCCAATGGCACGCATGATGCATACCTTTGCCAAGGTTGCGGGGTGGGAGTGGGGGGGCGCTGCTGCCACTGGGGGCTGCAGGCTGGGCCGACAGTGGGGGACTGCTGCCCAGGATGGTGCCGTATGTTTCATTCTGCAGGATGCTTGGCACAAAGCTCTTCAGCTTGTCTTTGGCGAGGCCAGCAGCATCTCGGGCCAGGGATGCAGCACTGGGTGGAAGCGGGCCGGACCCCAGTTGGTAGAAGCTGACGGGCCGGTCCTCTCGGCGGTTGGGGCTGGGCTGCAGAGGACAGGGGAGACAGGAGATGGACCTGCGACCTTCTGGTTGGGACAGTGGACAGTGTGGCCACAACCCGCAAATGATGGCTCCCAGGCTGACATGGGGCAGACAGCTACTAGCCCAGCTTCCTGGGGGCTCTGGAAAGCCCTCTGCCAGGGAGTCTACAAGCCCTAGCCTGGGCTACCACCCTTTGTGGGAACCTCAGCTGCACCCATAGTTTACATGTGGGCTCTGGCTGCCTCAGCACTATCCTGGCAGTTAGAAACCACTCCTTTAGACTGAGGAGCATGGGGCCCACCTGGGCTCCCCCACCAGTGTCAGTGGGAAGTCACGTGTGGAGCTGTGATCTTGGCTCAATAACTTGGATGCAGCTCACCCTCCAAAGGCCGACTGAGCACATGGCCCTGGCCAAGCTGCCTTCACCAATGCCAGGGCTGGGCAGCAGCTCAACTCAGCCCTGCCTGCGCCCTCCTAGGTCGGACTGCAGTCAGGGCAGGGCCTCACCTGGCTCTGCTCGGAGACCAACCCCAGCCTGCACTTTCTGCTGAAGGTGGGGAGCCAGAATTCCACCTGAGCTGAGCCCTTGGTTCCTGTCCCTCCAGGACCACCACCCCAATGCCTCACCTGCTCCTAAGATGGGAACATGAGGCCTACAAGCTTGGGGAGGTGATCTGGCATGGGGGAGTCAAACTATGGGGTTATTTGGTTTTGTTTTTTGAGAAGGGTCTTGCCACATAGCTCACTACGTCATTCACTATGCAGGCCTTTAACTATGTAGCCCAGTCTGGCCTGGAACTCCCAGAAATCCTTCTGCCTTAGCTTCCCAGAGTGTTTAAACTGTTGTTTCAAAGGCAGTAAGTAAAAATGAGCCATCCCTTCTCTGTGGCACTGGTTTGTACATAACTCAGTGGTGAGATTTCCTATTCTACATTCTAAACAGCACCAAGTACAGCCACTACCTGCGCTCTGTGAGCTAGGCTAACCGAAGGCTTCAGAAATGCCAGCTACTGAGGCCCTTTCACCTCCGGCACTGCTCTTCCCTACTGGAGTCCTCTGGCTCTATCACCTCAAGGCCAGAGTCCTACAAAGTAACAGCCTGGAGCACTTTCGGCCTGCTGCCCTGTGGCAGGGTCAGGGCTGAAATGGGAGGCTCTGGAGCGACCCTGCCTGGGCGTGTCCTCTGCTGGGGGACAGGGAGGGCCCCCATGCCCTGGGTCTCCTTCCAGGCTCTCAGAGGCACCAAGTTCCCATCTGGGAGGGTGGGGTTTGGAGCCTCGAGTGCTGGGGCCACTGAGGATCTTAGTGGAGGGTCGGCAGGTTTGGCCAGGTGAACGTGACCAACCGTGGGGCTGTGATAACCCATGGGGGACCTGGATCTGGCTCTTCCCAACAGGGTCCTCCCCGAGTGGCATCCTCGCCAGGCCCACCACACAAGGCCTGTCCACACCTTCCCCTTGCACTGCAAGGCAGGTGGCTTTCTGTAAGCGCTGGCGCTCAGGGGAGATGATGGGGTGTGGGAAAGGTAGAGCCCAGAACTGAACTGGCCAGAGCATAGGGCATGGGGAGCTGAGTCTGCCTTTTTGCCTCAGTTGCTGGCCGGGACTGCAACGCTCTGCACGGAGCTAACAGGCCCCTTCCCGCATGGCACCTGCACGGACCTGTAGCTTCTCATCCACGTCATCATCACTCTCGTCCAGGTCCTCATGGAGCAGCCGCCACTCATACTCGACGTGGACGTGCAAGTTGAACCTCCCGGACAAGGCCTGGGTCAGCTGCGGAGCACAGGCTGGTCAGGACTCCAGGACAACCTCAGCTCAAGCTTGCCGGCCCCGGGAGGTGCACATGGCTGCCTGCACCCAGGACCACCGGCAGGGCACAAGGGCACAAGGGGAAGAAGGGTGCATTTCTGCTCACCCAGCCCTCATGACAAGCACAGAGACCCGAGCCCCGCAGAAAGCAAGCAGAATGACTGCCTTCCGCCCCCTTGTGGCCGCCCACAGCCAGTAACAGGCTCAGGGAGCACAGAAGTTACTCCCAGAACCGGTGCTTCAAGGACCGGGAGCGGAACTGCTCCCCAGAGCTGGCCTTGTGATCACCCGCAGCTTAGGACGAAGATGACCTGAGCTAGTGGCGCTGCAGTACCTAGACTAGAACGGGTCACTGGCCCTACCCCTGGGCAGCATTTACTGTTCCTAGGTTCATTGATCCAGGGCTTAATCCCCACCCACCGTGTCACAGGGCAGCAACAGCCCCATTGCAGCTTTACAGAGTGACACAGCTGGCTCACTCCATGCACAGGGCAGCAGCCCGAGGCCTGGCTGTCCTTCCCAGGTTGAAGTGGCACAGCCCCACTGCAAATCAGCTCTTACTGCCGGCCAGGTCGCCTTTCCTTGCAGCATGGGAGGGGTAAAGGGGGAGGATGTTAGGGACAGAGCAGAGCTGCCGGCTGAGAGCTCTGAAGAGTGGTGGCATTTCTAAGTGTCACCACAAGAGGGCGCCGCCTGCCTCACAAAGTCTTCCCAACCCAGCTCTCTCCCAGTCAAGGCCAAAGCCTGGCTTGTCCTGTCCAGGACACGGATGGCTTCCAGCCACTGCAGACCGGGTCACAGCAGCCCTGGGAGCCCCGCCACACAGGGACTCACCAGCTCTTCACAGCGCTCATGCTTCAGGCGCTTGGCAATGTCCAGCGGGGTCTCTCCGGACTCGTTCGCTGCAAAGGGGGATGGTGGTGGAGAGAGGTTCTATGGCACACCTGGCACAGGCCTGTTCTCTTAGGCACTTTCATGGCCACTCAGGCGACGGCACTGAGCTGAACTGTGAACACTCGTTCAACCAGTGGTCAGACTGGGGGAAAGCTGTCCGTGACAGTATTGGGTGCAACAGTGTAAAGCAACTGTGAGGTATTTTATTTTATTTTATTTATTTAAAGACTAGGTCTTACTATGTAGCCCAGTCTGGCCTCAGACTCAAAAGTAACCCTCTTGCTTCAGCCTCCCAAGTGCTGGGATAACATGCATGACCAACCATGCCTGGCTGAGAAGCTAAAACTTCAACACAAGGTTTGTGTTCAGAAAATAAAACTGTTGAACAGTCAACTAAACAAAATCAACATGCAGAACCAGGTGTGGTGCTGCAGGCCTATAATTCTAGCACTTGGGAGGCTGATGCAGGAACAGTGCCCCCGAGTTTGAGGCCAGACTGGACTGTATAGTAAAGACTATCTCAAAAGATATTTTGAGACAGTACTTCAGAAGCTGAGGCAAGAGAGATCACTGTGAGTTTGAGGCCAGCTTGGGCTACAGAGTCTCAAAAATAATTAACATATAATACTACGTCTTTGAATACAGCACCTCATTATTCTCTTGAATAGGGTGCTGTTCAGGGTGCAGCCACCTGGCCCTATGCACTGAGTGTGTAAAACTTTTCTTCTGCACTACTGGGGCTTGAACTTTCAATTTAGAACTTCCCATGGGCTAGGTAAAGTAAGAGCTCTACCGCTGAGCCACATCTCCAGTCTTTTATATTTTGAGCCAGGGGGTCCCTAAGTTACGCAGGTTGGCCTGCAATACTCGACTCCCATCTCAGCCTCAAAAGTAGCTGGGATTACAGGCATGTGCCACCATGCTGGACAAACACAATAAACTTCCAATCAGCCTGTACATATGAAAGCTGTATGTTCTTCTCAGCCATCTGATTAATCTTTAAGGTCAGACACAGCCCCGCAGCTTCAACCCCTTTTCCCAGCCCTCTTTGTTCCACAGTTCTCCAAAACTACTTCCTTAGACAGCAGTAGGGCAAACCCCACCTCCGCCGGCTGTCAGTGGTCAGGGCCACCAAGAGAAGGACAGAGCAGGTGGCAGCTCCCTGAGGACGGGTGGCTTCCCCTGGGGCTGGGCTCACCGATCTCGATGGAGGCCTTGCCTCGCAGGAGCAGCTTGAGGCACTCGGCATTGTCGGTCAGGCAGCAGTAGTGCAGGGCCGTGCTGCCTTTGCCTGTCTGCTTGTCCAGATTCCCGCTGCCAGGAATGGTGACAGAGGGGAAAGACTCTGAGCCTCAGGTTGGGGAGGTGGGCTGCGATGACAGTGCCGGCCTGCCCCCAAGGAGGAAGGGTGACAGGACCCCATCCACCACTCAAGGAGCCCAAGGTCACTGTGCATGGGCCAGGAAGTCATGGCCTGGCCTGGCAGGGAGAGATGTAGGCACTGGGCTGGCAGTCCCAGGATGAGCATCAAGGGGCCCGGGAATCCTGGAGCGCAGCTGTGGGTCTCAGACCAACCACCCTGCAGCTCCTCCACTGCAAGAGAAGCGGGGGATCCTACTCCATCCACACTGTGGAGCTTCCCCTCACAGCAAGAACACTTTAGGTCCGCTCAGGACACAACCACAGCGCCCAGCACACTGCAGCCCAGGAGCCCGGACAGGAGGGCACTGTGGATGCCACGTGCATCCTTGAAATGCCACGTCCCACACCTCTCACACCTCACTCCTGCTCGGGAAGTCCCAGTGCCTTGGGAGTTTGCACCCCACATTCTGGGGCTATAAGCCGCCCTTCACTGTCCCCCAGCCCAGCAAGGCCTATGAATTCCCATTCAGCCCTGCAGACCAAGCAGTGACTCCTACTTAAGAGTTCCCCATCCCCTGTGTCAGCACACTCACCTGTTTTGAACCAAAAAGTCCACAATGTGAAGAGAAGTCCGGTCGACGGATCTGACTGCGAGATGCAGGCCCGTCTCCTCCGGCTCCTGAAAACCAAGCCGAGACATCCTAAGATTCCAGTGGTGCTATTAACTGTGCGCAAGTCTCCCTAAAGGTTTCCGTCCTGCCTTCGAGAAACTCATCGCTAAAACACAGCGTGCCTGTGTCCTCCACAGCTGAGTCTCTAGCCCGGGTCAGAAGCCAGAGACCAGCCCACTCCTGACTCCGAGGGAAAGAGACACACGGCAGCTCCTCTGGACTAAGTCGCTGTCTCTGCAGCAACGACACAGAGCATTCGCCTGCAACCGCAGGCCCTGTTCAACACATCTGAGAAGGCTCCTCTGGCCTCCTCCACCCCATCCTTTATCTGCTCCTAAAGTGTATGCGAAGATATGCTTTTAAAGCAGGGTTCAAGGGCTAGGTGGGTGTGTTGGCCCATAACTGTAATCCCAGCACTCAGGAGGCTGAGGCAGGAGGATCACTGTAAGTTTGAGATCAACCTGAGCTACATAGTGAGTTCAAGGCCAGGCCCATTCCATAGCGAGAACTTGTCTCAAAAAAAAAAAAAAAAAAAGAGGAGGGGGAGAGTGGTGGATCTAGGGCAGTAGCTCAGTGTAAAGTTACTGAGTTGAAACAATAACACAAGAAATAAATCAACCAAAGAAAATCACTATACAGGATTACTTGCATACTAGGTGTGCAGGAAACATGTGATTTCTCACTTTGACCTGGATTCCATCCCCAGGATAGCTCATTAATTATTATGTAAATATGATGAAACCTGAAACAAAACCAAAATAGCTGTGCTCCCAGAACTCAGAATAAGGGGGGCTCTGTGTCTATGTGTAGTTAAGTCCCCAACTTGAACCTCTGCGCTGCAAACTCTGGCAGGTAGACTGGCGTCACTGTCACCTTTGAAGAAACCTAACTCATGCACAGGTCTCCCGGAAGAGAAGTGGCCTGGAAGTCAGGGACTCAGTGTCATTCTGTGCCGCTAGCAGCTGCCTGGCAGGGTCTTTCTGCATGACCAACCTACCACCTGTGTATGGGAGCCCGGCTTACGTGTCCGTTGGCCAGTGGGATCTTCTCTGTGAGGTCCACACCATCGGCGTAGGCTTGCAACAACCCGAAGATGTCCCTCGTCTTGACAGCCTCACACAGGCTGTGCAGCTTTGCAGCATGGTCCGCGTGCTTCTTCCTCGCATACCGCTTCTCGATGTACTTGGCCGTGATGTAGTCCTTCCTTGCGTTCCTGAAAGCAGATGTGACTATCGGAAGAATCTCGAAGGCCTCGCTCACCCTACCTGGCATCCCTGCGTCTATGCCAGTGGCATTCTGATGGCTAGATGAGGAAACCGCAGTGCCCCTCACGACAGGGCAGCACTGTGCCAGAGAGATGCAGGCGCCGACTCAGTCCATGTGGGTGAGCTCAGGACACTGGGCCACACGTGGCTGGCTCCATTTACACAGAATGCCTGGGAATGTCCAGAGATGGCAACTGTGTAGACACAGAAAGTGGCCTATCCAGGACTGGGTGTGTAGGGGGACTTAACTTCCTATTAAGATGAAAAAATAACACATAACACAAAACCCCACTAAAACCCAGGGCACAGGAGGTAGTTCAGGGCAAAGCTCCGTGCTCCGTTCCCAAAACTGCCACCAACACCCAACAAAATAAAGACGGTGCTAGGCACAGTGGCATACACCTGCAACCCAGCTCCTCAGGAGGCTGAGCCAGGATGACAGCATATCTGAGGTCAGTCTAAGGCCACAAGGCAACATCTCCTCTCAAATAAACAAATATAAAATGAAGTTTTGACAACGGATGCAAGACTGTAAACTACATGAAGTCACAGAATTGCACACTTTTTAAATGAATGTGAATCATACTTCAATAAAGCTGCCAATAAGTGTATAAGGAAAAACCAAACGTAACAGTTTACTCTTAAATGCATTAAGATGCAGGCAGGGAGAGCCCACCCAGCCTGGGTTCCCCGATTCTGCCCACAGCACCAGCAAGGTGCTATGGGGCTCCAAGCACAAGACAGGGAGAAGAAGGGAAGGAAGGGGCCAGGTTACCTGTAGCCCAAAGTCCACTGAGCAGCGGGTATACTGCTGGCTGCCACTCAGGAGGCTGCACCTCAGATGGGCCCAACCTGCGCCCCATGTGACTGTGGCAAGCAACACAGCCTTCTCGCCTGTATGAGTTGTGGTCATGACCATAGCTGCCTCACAGGCACTGCAGGACAGAATGACCACAAGGAGAAGGAGCACAGGGAAACCTGGGTGTCCCAGCAATGCAGGTAGCCCAGTCCCTGGGGCCAGGAGCAGGAAGGGACCACTGGGGTCCACTGCCCTCGTGACGCCTGGCCTCTCGAGGTGACAGGACCACACTGCAAAGTCGCTCGCACCCCTGCTGGGCCGGCCCTGCTGCCCTTCTCCTGATCGCCCTCTTGCCTTCCACATAAAGGACCTGTGGACACCACATGTCCAGGTGACACTGCTGTTGTCCCTTCAGAGTACCCGAGCCCCAAAAGGGAACCTCAAGCAGAAAGAGAGCTTGCCTTGGGGGGCTGCAGACAGGCTGGCCCAGGATGGAGGGACACTGCTCCCACCAACCCACACTCTTTGGTCTTGTGAAGAAGCCTGTGAGGCCAGTCTCTTTTCTTCTTTCTGAGACGGAGTCTTGCCAGGGATCCCGGGCTGGCCTCCAAACTCATAGAGATCCTCCTGCTTCTGCCTCCCGAGTGCTGGGATCACGGGCACCACCATACCTGGCTTCCCTTGCCTTCTTATTTAAAGGCTGAGGCCTCTGGACAAGAGCTGCGGACCCCAGAAAGAACCTCTGCTGTTCAGGAAGCGTCCCTGCTACCAAAAGGCCCAGCAACTGTTCTGACCCTGGGGAGCTTGATTAACCTGGACTCTCACAAAAATCTATCTGGTGACTCACAGGCCACTAGGAGGTGTCTGTGCCTTCTCTTTCTACAGACTACTGCAGATGCTATGCTGTTCTTAGAGTGAGAAACAGTGCATCCCTTTCCTGCCAGAGGGAGAACTTTAGCTCCCTTGAAGCTGGAGCTATTTCTTGGGCCCACTGGTTACTGAGCCACCACAGGCAACATACTGTGTAGGTGGCAGGAGACCGAACCCAAGCCAGCTCCTTCTCCAGACAGGATCCCAGCTGCCCAAGGAGTCTTCTCCCCCTGGGACACCTAGCTGGCTGCCCTCCTGGAGTGTGCAGAGGTGATGTCCTGCCCATTCTGAGGACCCCCAGCCCATGGGAAGGAGACACAGAACAGCCTGCACCAACTGCCTTGCTGACCCGCCCCCCCCCGCCAGGTCTCTACTGGGAAAGGACCTGGTCTCTCCTTTGGTTTTTTATTTTTCACTTATTTATCTTTTGAGACAGGCTCAATGGATAGCCTGGGCTGGCCTTGGACTCCCGAGTCCTGAGATGACAGTCATGTACCCCCATACCAAGCTTTTCCCCCGTTAGAGGAAACCAGGCCAAGGTTCAGAGGAGCAGGAGATCCTGTCTCATCTAGGCTCAGGAAAAGGCTCAGATGTCTGCGCCCTGCTGTGTGGCACAGTGTGGGCAGGAACACAGATCTGAAACTTGTGTTCTCACGTGAACCGGGCACCAGGTAACCTGGGATTGCATGCTGGCCCACCTTGGGGAGGTGCTGATGACACCCCAGAGCCTGGCTGCAGTGTGCGAGCACAAACTGACTTCCATCCCACGCCACCAATGGCCCGCTTGAACCCCAAGGGGAGAGTGATGGACCGGGCCCTACTCATCCCGAGTGCATCTCTGCTTTGTCTCCTCCCAGAGCCCCACAGGTCCCCAGCTCCAGATTCCCAAATGTGCCCTGCAGAAACGGCTACAACCTCTGCTCACAAAGGGCCTGACCTGCGTGGGAGGCCACTGTTGGAAGGGGCACGTTGCGTGTGACCTGCACCGAGCTGTGGAACTCACACTGTTCACCCTATCTGGGCTGCTTCTGCAGAAAGGCGGCCTCTGCAATGCAGCGCTTGCACTCTGTCCTAGCAAACCCAGGGTCTGCCCTTCCCTCTCCTGCCCAGACACATTAGTGCTATCTCCCATACAAGCAGCTGGGTCCCTTCTGATTCAGAGGACCTGCCTCGCTGTCTGCCTCACTCTGCATCATAGCACAGGTGGCCATCCTAACGCACAGGGCTGGCCTCCTCTGCCTCTCAGGAACACACTGTTTGGGGGTCCCACATGGTAATGAGACCGGCAAGAACCCAACCTCCTCCTGACCCCCACCCAGGTGCCACCTCTCTGGGCCAACAGGACACAGCAGGATGGGCCACAGGGCTGCTTGGTTGAGCCTGGGTCAGCGGGAAAACATGCAGCAAGCTTTTTCTGAAGGGAACAGCCATACCCTGCACCCAGGGGGCACAGGCAGAGAATGAGACCACAGGCGCGTGCTCCTGTGTCATGTGTGTGCATCTGTGTGTCACATGCCCGTGATGACCTGCCACCCCCCTTCCCCAAGGCTCGGAGTCCATGCACAGAAAACTTGGCCAGGAGGGCAGGGCACCAAGGGCAAGGACATTGAGCACATACGACCTGCACCTGGGGCAGCCGCTCAACCTGCTATCCCTCTGGCCTCGCCTAGGAAACCTGGCTGTGCCAGATTTCTATCTAGACACATAGAAAGGCCCCAGTAAGAAAGACAGGAAGAAACAGCAGGCACAGAAGGGAAGAGGAGAGAAAGAGGGGAATGAAAGAGGATAAGAAAGCCTCCTATTCAATTTACGCAGGTTTGGCTTTTAAGGAAATAACACCTGGCAAGGCATAGCTGTGCACGCCTGCGATCCCAGCACTTGGGAGGCTGAAACAGGAGGATACTGTGAGTTTGAGGTCAGCCTGGGCTACATAGTAAGACCCTGTTTCAAAACAAACAAACAAACAAACAAACAAAAAAACCAGGAGTAACACTTGACACAACCCAAACCTGTTCTTCCCCTGCCTTGAAGGACAGGCCAACGGCTGGGCCCGCACTTACATGTCGCTGCCTGGGGAGGGTTTGATGGCGTCCTCGGCTGGCAGGCAGCACTCCATGATCTCGTTAAAGCCTGCATTCCCAATATTCTTGGCAAGCTGCAAAAACAAAAGTCTACTTCAGGGCACTCAATTATTAATGCATTCCACTGCTACTCATTACTCATCCGTCTGATGATTTATTTAATGGCTGCTAAGAAATAGAGCAATAAAGTGGTTTGTTGTTAATGAAGATGGACAAAGCCCAGGGGTAGCTAGGAAATCACAGCAGAGTAGCAGCCTGCCTTCCGCAGTGGCCTCTGGGTAATATGCCCTGGATGGCCCCTGCTGGCCATGGAGAAGTGGGCCATGGCTTTGAGGTTCCCTCCCCTTCCCACACCTCCCTCTGCAGTGGACCTAGGCTGCCACCCCCGGCCCAGACTGAGGTGTTGACAGTGTGAGGGTCCGGGCCTAGGCAGCTCCACCTCAGCTCCAGGCCATAGCTCTGTCACTAGCTGTGTGACCACAGGCAAGCATCGCCCTCTATCCAGAGCAGGGAGGACGCCAAACTTGCAGCGTGGCAGTGAAGGCAGGAATGGAATGAGCAGGTGAAAGCACTAAGAGCCCAAAGCACTGCAAAGGTCACTGTAAAGCCCAGGTATAAGGTCTGTGCCCACTGGCTTCCACCTTGGGACACGGTCACACCTCTTTGCTACACACTAGGACTGTGCCTGATACAGCAGATGCTTATGGACACCTGTCACGCTATGTCACACATTACCTTGATGGTGGGTGGCCAGCCTCCTTTGGAGTGAATGGATGACCAGGGGCCCCTTAAGAGCGAGCAGGACTTCATCATCTTGTTTTTAACACCTGGCTCAATACCTGCCACATGGGAAACTCTGAGATCTGATTTTTGAGACAGGGTCTCAATGTGTAGCTCAGGCTAACCTCAAACTCACTATGAGAAACCTCAAGCTGGACTCGAACTCTTGGCAAATCTCCTCCCTCAGCCTACTGAGCACTAGGATGACAGGCGTGGCTACATTTTTTATTTTTTGTGGTGCTAAGGATAGAGTGAGGCTTGCCTGATGCCAGGCGAGTGTCTCCCCATGGGTCAGTCTTCAGTGTCTCAAGAAACAATTCTAGAAGGGAGGTCTGAGCACTGTGCTTTGGGAATATAGATTTTTTTAATGTTGACACTGAAAATGACGTTAGGGGAGCTGGCAATACTTCAGATCATTCTGAATTCACTGTGCCATAAAGGCTGATGGCGACACTCCAGGGGGCCCAGGGCTGTGTCTGTCTTCAGGGAAAGTGGCTGAAGGGAAAGCCAGAGACCTGGGTCAGATGAGGCCAGAGCTTCTTCTGGCAGGGAAGTAACATCCAATAGTGATGAGGACAGCGACAGATGCACAAGATACTTCTCGTTTTCTCTTTCTCCCTCTTATCCCTTTCTCTCTGCAGCACTAGGGGTTGAGCCAGGATGTTTACATGGGGCTGCATCACCTACCCTTTTTATTTTTTGAGACGGGATCTCATTAAGTTACCAGGCTGAGCTTTCAATTACAATCCTGCTTCAGCTGCACAGCACGCTGGGATTACAGGCGTGCACCACCACATTCAGCTCAGAGGATTTTTTTTGTAACACCGGATGAGAGAATACACAGAGTAGCCTAGCAGAGGTGTGATGAGCCTCGATGACTGCACCTTGCCCCTGACAAGGGAACAAAGATCCCAGGGGGGTAAAGCATTAAACACCAACACCAGCCCCTTGCTGCTGGCTCTGCAGCCACAAGCCTGGGTCAGCAGGTGAGAAGCCAGACTGAAGTTTCCTGGACTCAAAACTCAAGAAGCAGTGGTCAGGGGAGGTGACAGGAGTCCACGTGCTTGAGGCCGCTGCCATAGGATGGGTCAGATCCAGGATGAGCTCATGCGCAGAGGGCCCAGGTCACAGGCAGGCACAAGCCCCTGCCCATGACGTCACGTAGCAGGGACACAGCGCATGGCCGTACCCCATCATTTCCTAACTGTGAGTGACAGCAGGAGCCATGCCACCCGCTCTGTGAACAGGTGCCTTCCTGAAGCCTCCTCGCCTGGGTTAAGCAGATGGGTTGGGGTGGGAGGAAGAGAATCCCCAGGAAGCAGAAAGCCGCTTCCCTTCTGCTCAGAGCTGGCTGGTTCTTCAGGGACAGCTGGGCCGGGGGCCTCCACATGCGTGCGTCACACTCCCAGTGCTGGAGCACCAGGCAGCCTCATAAGGCTGCCCAGACCCAGCTTTATTTTTGTTTTCTCTGAGACAGGGTCTCGCTATGCAGTTCAGGTTGGCCTTGAGCTCACTATGTAGCCCAGACTGGCCTCAAATTTGCAGTGATCCTCCTGCCTTAGCCTCACGAGTGCTGGGTTACAAGTCCAGGTCCAAGGAGTGCACCTGGCACAGGCACTGCTGCACAGGTGAGCTTCCTGGCCTTTTGGGCCTCAGTGTTTCAGTCAAGCTCTGGCTGAGCAGACAAAATGTGCAGAGAGCCCTGATTACAAAAGTCTAGAGCACAAATGTCACGTGGTGGTCGGCGGCCATGGGTCCATTTAGGGCGATCCTAGGCAGCTGTTCTGGGGACCTGGAGTGGAGACAGGCTATGAGCAGGCCCTGGTCTTGGAGGGCACCCATCCGCCCCTGCCCACACCCCCTTGCCTTGTGAAAGGGCAGCGGGAGCAGGCAGAAGGCAGAGCCCAGTTGCTCCCATCTGCCCCAAAGCTTCCTAATCCCTGCTCTTTGATTCACGGAAGATTTATGAATTCCACTAATGATTCTGAAACAGACAAAGGACACCAGGATCCAGGGACCTCGGTGCCATTTCTAACAGGACCTGAAAGGTAAGGAATGTGCAGCTGTAACCTCTGCCAAGGAAGAGGCTGAGCCTGTTAAAATTGAGATCCACCTAAGGATCTCCCGAAAGTGAGCTCACCGAAAACCTAAGCTGAGGAATCGGCAGTGTGCTGAGTATTAGAGAGACACAATACCCCAAAGCCATCAAAGGAATGCTGCAGCTCCTCAGGTCCCATTTTGTTGCATGAGAAGCGATTCTAAAAGCAGGTAAGAGGAAGGAAAGATAATTACTGCCCAGCCCCTTGGTAGCTGCTTCAGAATCCACTGCATTAGTACGGAGAACAAGCACACCCTGAAACAAAAACCCAGGTGGGAGGGAGGCAGAAGCCATGGGCCAGAAGCCAGAAATACTTCACAGAATCTGATCAGGCCATATGGAAAACAGGGTGACATTTTACAGGGTGAGCATCTGGCTGTGGAAGGACACAATACCAGAGAGAAAATGGAAATAAAAATGCAATTCAAACCAGGCCCTGCTCACAGACCTGCATCTCCCCAGCCCATTCACACCTTTCCTATAATGACGTTTGTCATTCCAGCACTCTGGGCCAGGCTGGTGCTACATAGTGAGGTCATGGTCAGCCTGAGACATAGTGAGACTTACCTTTAAAAAAATTAATTAATTAAAATAAAACAAATACTTTTCCTCATCAACAAAAGCAAGAATAGATAAACAGTTAACTATTTCAATTTAACTTTTTTTTTTTTTTTTTTTTTTGGTCTTTTTGAAACAGGGTCTCACTATACAGTTCAGGCTGGCCTTGAGCTCACTTTGTAGCCCAGGCTGGTCTCAAACTCACAACGATCTTTCTGCCTCAGCCTCCCCGAGTCTGGGATTATAGGTGTGCACCACCACTCCTGGCTTTCAAATTAATTTCTGTTTCTAAGGAACCACTGAAGAGTGTGAAGAAGCCTGTGGTGGGAGAGATTGTTTACAAACCTATCTATGGGAATGAGGATGAAACACGCAATGCTGAAGGGACACAGGTCCCCCAGTAACACGCTTGCAATGCATCCAAACGCATGCACGGGGCCGTGGCAGGGACATCTCAGGAGACATTGACACAGCCCAGAAAATCACTGATCCTCAGGGAAACACAAGCCAAAGCCAAAACAAGGAATCACCTTGTTAGAATGTCTTATATTTAAAGGACAAAGATGGCAAGTGCCATGAAGCAGGGAGAGGAGGGGCCTCTGACTGTGTTGGTGGGGATGGAGATCAGTGAAGCTGAGCATTAGTGTGGAAAATAACATGGAGCTTCTGAAAAAACAGATCTGCTCATGTTCCAGCAAGTCATGACTGGATACACAGTCAAAGGAAGTGAAACCAGTAAGTAACCAGAAAGGAAAGTACAGTACCTAGTCATGAGGAAGTACTATACACCTCAGAAAAGAGTTGAGATCCCAGCTTAGTGGCTGCATCTGTGACCCCAGAGGACACTATGCTGAGCTGGGCACAGAAAGCCAACTGCCACATGACCTCAAAGATCAAGCCACATGTAAAGAAGTCGACTCCATAGAACCGAAGAGTAAAACGAGTCACCAGGGCGTGGCAGTGATGAGCACATGTGGAGTTGGGTGGGTTAAATAGCCCGACTTATTCAGCCCACCATGTACTTGACCTCTCAAAAGATCACTGCAGTCCCAGCACTCAGGGAGCAGAGGCAGGAACACTGCAAGCTCGGGGCCAGCCTGAGTTACAAGTAAGGTCCTGTCCCAAGAAACCAAAATCAAACAAAACAAAACAACGACAAAAAAAACCCCCACAGTTATATACCATAAATCTATCCTGTAAAACCTGGGTTGGGACATAGCACAGTGGCATAAAAACCTGTCTGGCAAACACAAGGTCCTGAGTTTGATTCCTGGTACCAAAAAACCCCCATGTATTAATAAAATCTCCCTCCTGCCCAGCAGTCACCCAAAGACATGGCTGTCCTGTTATTTTATCTAACAGATGGGAAATGCCCAAGGCAGCTGTCCAGGCTGCACCCACTGATCTCCTTTCACAGGCTGAAAGTGACCCAGCCCACACTTACAACGCAAGAGAACACCAAGATGAACCTGGTGCCCAAAGACCCCAGCACTGCAGCCCTGAGGACCATGCTGGCTTCCACAGGACATGGTGCATAGTCCAGGTGCAGTGGCAGCTCTCTGGGACCTGATGTCAGGGCTCGTGGGTGATTTTTCTGAAAGAACTCTGCTGAAATCATAGTGGAGGAGGAAGAGAAGGTAATAACAGCGGCTGGTATTTTGCAGGGTTTACTATGTACCAGACAGAACGCTAGATGTGTACATGAATGCCCATGTGCACACACACATGCACAAACGGAGAGGTGTCAAGACTTTCGGAAATTCTTTGTTAGGCCGTTCACTGTCTAAGCAAAACAAAAAAATAAACACCTCGCAGCTCAGAAAAAGCTGCAGATTGGTAGGCTTTGTGACTGAATGGCAACATCTACCTCTCTACTGCTGAGCTGGAGGGCTGAGGGCTGAGGCTTCAGGCAGAGCTTCAGGCCCCAGCCCCAGCACACCAGGAAATGAGGGTTGGGGGAGAGGGAGACCAGAAACCACCTCTTGTCAGCCACCACAGGGCAACACTCCAGGGGTGAGGGGTGGTGGCCAACAAACCCTACACACCTGACACACCTTAGCAAGTTCTTGTGTTTTTAAAAGGCATGCTGGTGCATACCTGGAATCCCAGCACTCCGGTCACAGTGAGTTCCAAGTCAGCCTGATTTACAAAGTGAGTTCCAGACCAGCCTGGGCTACAAAGTGAGCTCAAGGCCAGCCTGAACCGCACAGCGAGACCCTGTCTCAAAAAGACAAAAAATCAAAACAAAACAAAAAAACTCCCAGAAACAAAAGACAATTAGGCATACAGAATCTGCAGTCTGAATCGGGGGTTAGGAGTAACGATGGAAGTCATCTTTCATCAAGTGGATTTGTCCTTCTTTCAGTCTTCTTCAGTGTTTTCCTCTTTTTGAGACCCCTTTAAGCAGTTGCAACAGCAGTTGGGGTCAGGCTCTGACAGCTCATGAGAGCCATGTTACATTTTTAGGAATTTTTTGAGCCACCTGTTGAACTGATATAGTATAAAATTATACTGTATTAACTCATAGTAAAATAAATTAAAAACTAAGGCATTAATCAAAACTCATTATAACATTTCCCTATTACCTATATGCAGTTTTTTAGGGGGGCAGGATCTTTCTCTATGGTTCAGGCTGGCCTTGCACTATGTAGCCCAGATTCACTGCAATTCCCCTGGTCTCCACTTCTCAAGAGCTGCAATTACAGCTGTGCACTACCAGGCCCAGCCCTATCACCTACGCTCCTGAAGTTATTTAGGCACAGTATATCTGCATGGCAAGGTTTTAGAGAAGTGCATGCTGTTGCTACCCAACATCTCTTTCCAATTGTATGTTCTGGAATTCATTGGGTCGCTGGCAACTAACTGGTCCCACTGCCCACAGGGATGGGCAGGCTGCAGGCTAGGGCTCTTTTTTCCCAGGAGTGACCTGTGAACACCTGCTGGGGCTGGGCAGTGGGGGATGAGCAGTCACAGGGCCCAAAACACAGCACAAGCATGGTCAATGGCCCAGGTTCCGAGGAACCGAGAGTGTGATCTCTGCAATGTGGGGGAGGGAGCTGCTTCTCCTAGGCATCTCCTAAGAGCAACATTTTAAAAACATTCCCAGCCTCCAGCTTCTCCTGGGTAAAGCAAGGATAAACCAAGGATGTCAGGCTGCTGCAGAGGCCAAATGAACTCACACATGTAACGTATGTAGTATACAACAAGTTATTTCACCAGAGATCACAAAGTGCTTCCCAGTGTTGTCAGCAAATCAGCGTTCACTGACAGAACCTGTGATTCTGTGAAAATGCACCAGTCCCAAGGAACCCTGCCGCTATCCACCCCGAGGGATGCAGGCACCCATATACTGCAGGGCACAGCCACTGACTGACTCATCACAGCAGAAGCAGCCACCACAAGCGACAGGAGTGCCCTGCAGCCTTGCTGAGCCTGGCTTAGTCTCAGCGTTAAGTCACCAGGGCTGTCCCCACTGGGCCACCAGGATCCACTCCAGCTTCCCCCAACTCTGACTTCTGAGACCTCGGATTGAGAGGGTCCCCCCAGAGAGAGTTCACAGGTATCAAAGTCCATATACACAAATCCAGAGCACTCATCAAGATTTATAGCTCCATGAGGGAATATTGACCAAAGTCATTGATTTCCTGTTGAGATTATTGCTCTTGACATTGTAATCAATGATAACCAATATCCACTCAGTACACTCAGTCAGACACCAAAAGAAAGTTTCGCTTTTTAAGCAGCCCCTAAGGACTCTGAAATAGCCCAGAGAAACCCAGGCTTTCGGCGGCCAGAAGCACAGAAGGAGCCTGATTCATTGCTCACTGGTGGGGCCGCAACCTTGGAACCCGGAAGCGTTTACAGGGCATGCTCCCACCTCCTCACCAGCCCAGACTTCAGGGCTATGACTGAACCAAGAATGAAGTTGTCTCAGGAAAGTGGAAGATAAAACCAAGACCAGTGTCTCTCCTGAGAGGGAAGGAAAGACCCAAGCTGAGTCAGAGATCAGCTGGGGGCTCAGGGAGAACAAATTCGCCCCACCTTTCTGCTGTTACTCCTGTGTGCACTTCACACATGGATAAAGTAGACGGGGCTACCAGCCCACGCTGTCTCTGTAGAATCTCACACCAGAAGCTTGGGTTCGCTTCCTATTTTTGTATTTCAGGATAAAGTTTTGCAACAAGAAGTGGCCCCGCTGGCTCGCTGCTGAGCATGAGGAATTATCAATGAGTTTCTAATTACCCAAACCCATCTGGTGACACACCCACCAGCAGCCCACTGGTATTTCAGGAGTCCAAAACAGATCAGAATGCCAAATAAAAACTTAGCTTTCTGCTCATTTAATTCCAACCCCAAATCAAGGACTTAAAAAGTACCAGCAGCTCAGACGTTCCCAGCACGTCTAAGGTCAGGGACTGCATCCTGGAGTAATGAACACCCAGCTCCCGGTGGATTCCGGAACACTCGATACAGGTCAGGATGCCCAGGTTAGTGGACAGCCATGTAGGATCTGCCAAAGAGGACAGGGAAAGCTTGAGTCTACAGGCAGGAAGAGGCCAGAAAGCACGACGTTCTCCTGCCTGGTCCTCTATATGAACTTTTAAACATGAGCACCTTTGATTTTTGACACAGCTCGAACCTTCTGTCTCCACAATGAGCACCAAAGAATGTCCACCCCATGCAGACCGGAGTCAGTTGGTTCTCCCTTCTCCCCCTGCGCCCCTCCCGTCCTCTCACTCCTAGGGGCCAGGTGTCATGAGCATGGATGTGCTGGAGTGGCCCCGGGTTCCTCAAGGGCTGGTCCCTACCCTGGTCAGATCGGTGGAGCAGAGCAAGAGAAAAAGCAAGAGGTTGGGCAGTTTAGCTGTCAGAAGGGACGGACATGAAGACATCTGCCACCTGCTGACGGATGTGTTCTGTGCAGCACTTGGGGGCAGCAGTAACAGTATGCATCGTAAGAGCTTCAGAAACCACAAAACTTGTGTGTGGGGGGGGTGGTGCCCGGAATTGAACTCAGGATCTTGAGCTTGCCAGGCAGGTGCTGTGCCACTGGACCATATCACCGGCTCCTGAACATTTTCCTATTGAAGCTGCTTGAAGCACATGAGGGCCCGTGAGGGGACCAGGATGGGATGGGGAGGCTCTTGCCTTGCAAACGAGGCTGAGACCTGGGCAGCCAACCCATGCCACACCGGCTCTGACTTCTTTCTTGGTGTCTGAGACAGTGACACTCTTGCTGCAGTCCTTACCTTTTCTCAAGAAAGAACATAATTCACTACTCCTCTACCCCTACCTCATCTCCTGCCTGAAAGGTATTTTTTAATGGATCTAACATCAAATATAGCCTTCAGGGTAATAGGAACCTAATGGCATTTCTCAAATGTCCACTCTATTTTGGTTGTGCTTTTAACAGAAATGCCCAGAAGTGGAGGCATGAAAAAGCAATTTTGTTTTTTGTTGTTGTTTTGGTACCAGGAAACAAACTCAGTACCTGTGTTTGTCAGGCAGGTGCTTGTGCCACTGAGTTATATCCCCAACCCACGAAAAGGTAACTGATATTCTGGCCAAGCCACACTCTTTTTCACCTTAGAGTTCTTGAAAAAGGCTACCACACAGTTCTACTGACCATCTCCAGGATCCTTCCATCTTAATTAAAATAAGTCAACTCCTAAAACATTTATAAAATACTAGTTGTTAAATGAGGTATAGTGCACACCTGTAATCGTAGTACTCAAGAAGGCTGAGGCAGGAAGACTGTAAGTGTGAGGCCAGTCTGGGCAGTTTAGGAAGACTGTCTCAAAATGAAAAAGGTGGGGGATGTAGCTTAGTGGTAGAGTACTTGCCTAGCAGGAATAAATCCCTTTGTTTGATCCCTGGAACCACCAAAAACCAAACCAAAACAAATTTTAAAAACCCTACAAAAACATAAAAACCAGAGCTTACAATGACACTGGGTCGTTATAATGAAGCTGATATGCTTTAACAGAATACAAACATATGATCCATGCATGTCTCTGAATGCAGAGGAACTTGCTCCTTCATTTTACAGAAAACATCTAAGACATGGAAGGTTCTTGACAATGGCTGAAAGTGATTTTACTTGTTTCTTTATGGTACTAGGGATCAGATCCAGGTCTCTGCACCAAGCTACATCCCCAGTCTCTTTTAACTTGTTTAAATTTTGAAGCAGGTTCCCGCTAAATTGCCCAAGCTGAACTAAAACTTATTTATTTGTATTTCATTGAGACAGGTCTCGCTACTAGGCCCAGTTGACCTTGAACTCACTATATCCCAGGGTGACCTCAGACTCTCTGTGATCCTTCTGTCTCAGCCTTCTGAGTACTGGATTACAGGCGTGCACCACCGTACCCAGGTGATATTATCTCAGGAAGTTTACAAAGCAGGACCAAGTAAGGCTGCAGCAAAGCCGAGCCCCTCCTGGACAGGCAGGAAGCCTAGGATCCTGACTTCCTGACTCCCCGAGGCGGCTCTGTTCTGGCTTCTCAGGAGTGCTGACCTCTTGTTCCAGCCCAGCCCTCACCCTGCCCCCGCAAGTCCTTGCACGGCTGTGCAGCAGCTCATTAAGCATTTGTGTAATGGGATGCACTCGGGCTCAGCTGCACTTCACCTCGTGTTTGAAGCAGAAGTGAAAATCAATGGATGGGCTCTGTGAGTGGGGCTGGGATGTGAGTGTCCCAGACCCCGGCACAGGGCAGACCCGGTCACCTGGCGCCCCGCAGTCGCAGCACACGTCGTTGCCGGTCATCCTCTGCACCTCCGTGATGATCTCCTTGGTCAGCTCCTGGACGATATTGTTCTCCCCAGTGCTGTCATCGCCCTTAAACGCATTGTTCAAAGCCTCTTCCTTGCTGTTCTGCAGCACGGACATCCATCTAGACACATGATGGGGACAGTGTAGCAAAGCATCACAGCCAAGAACAAGGAATGGCTGGCTGGGCCCACCGTCCCGCCCCAGCTCACTCACATCTGGCACTCCTGCTCATCCTCTGCTTGGAAGTGGTAGGTTCTGTCATCTGCAGGAGAGGGGAGGTGTCAGTGGGGAGCCCCAAGGTGCAAAGAGAAAGTGGTTTACAATGAACTGCAGGAAAAACCCCAGCCCTGGCCAGAAAATTGACGATTTGTATAGAATGTATAGAATTGGGCATTTTCTCAGTGCCTTCAAAGGCCTGCCCTGGCCTGATAACTGTGGCTTTGTCATGCAAATTTGCAAACCTGCCCTGTTTCCAGCAGCTTCCTGAAACTGGAGGTGCTTGAAGAAAACACTGTCACCCTATCAAAAGGGTTACTTTCTAAACTCACTGCAGAGTTGCCCCAGAAAGTAACTGTGAAGCTCTCTGGAAATAACAGAAGCCTTTTCTTAAGGGAGTATCTTAGATGCTTTCTGGCTTTCTTAGAGAAAGCATAAGAATAACATGTGATAGGAGCCCTGTGCCCCAAATAGCCAAAGCCATGGGATCCTGCCAAGGATCGGTGGCCCTAAAGTGCCACCCTCAGGTACTGCTGGCTGGCACATCACAGGGCTTGGCAGGGCTGCCGGGCCCTCGGTATGCAAAGGGCAGGGTCTCTGAGATGACAGCGTTGCTTGCCAGCTATTCTTGCAGGTCTGTTATCTTCTATTCAATCAGGAGAAAACCTCAGGGAAACCCATTCGGAGGTACAGCTGACATGGTACTGATCAATATGTTTTAAAAGGTATCAAGTTCGTGAGAGGTAAAAGACGACTGCAGAGAGAGCAGTCAGACGTAAAAACAACTAATTATGATGCATGGCTGGGGTGGGTCCCCGGGCAGGACAAGGACATTAGTGAAAAGACCTGGGCAAGACCAGTCCACAGCTTGGCGCCAGTGCCTTTCCTAACTGTGCATGCAGCCAGCAGCACCATGTACTGCTGCTGGGTAACTGTTATAGGAAGTCTGCACTAGGGAGTGCTAGGGAGAGGTACACAGGAACAATCCATCCAAAACAAGGCTAAAAAGCGAAGTTAAATGTGAAAAGGAAAAAAGGGAGGATCCACACATGGCACAGCAGTGACAAACAGAGCTCCTCTAGGGGACATATAATAAACAATTGTCCCACAAAAGGGAGAGGCATCAGTGGTCTTCCAGTCATGGTTTTCACCCTGAAAGCACCACTTCTGAGAACATCACACATCACTGCCCTGAGCTGAGAGGCGAACAGCTGAGAGGTGAAGGGGCAGAAAGCAGCAGGGCCCCGCATCTCCTACTCCTGGCCCCACCCCATGTCCACACCAGGCTGCTCTTCTGGTTCTCTTTTGAAACCAGGGAAAGCTTGGTTTTCCTTTATGCCTTCTTTTACCAAGGAGAGAAAAGGTGTAAGAAAACCATTTCAAGTTAGGAAAAATGAAGTTGACTTTGTGATGCAGACGTCAGGCGCAAGTGTGGAGAGAAAGAGGTGACCATTCTCAGGCATAGACCAGAGCCCAAGACCCTGTGGGAGGGAGGCCAAGGTCCCAGGAAGCCATGAAAGAAACCTAGTGTCTGTGGCTGACCAGGCAGAGCTGAGTAGCTGATTCTGCCTGTAATGTGTGATGGAGAAGGCGGATTTCAAAACACCTCAGCGAGAGCCCCCTGTGGCAGGCTCTCAAGGTGCGTGCCAACTATGCTGTGGCTACAAAAGAGAAGAGGCAGAGGGGGCTGGGTCCCGGGTGTCAGCTGCCTCGGTGCTCTGGCAACGAACGTCAGAGTGACAGACTCTGAAAGCCAGGCTGCCTGTGTCACTCATACTAGTAGATTCCTCTATAAATGGAAAACCTGGGCTGGATCCCTAGTGACCCCACATTCACAAGGGTGCTGGCCTTTCCTCTCCCAATTTGTAACCCTGCCACGCTCGATGACAGGGAACAGAAGGCCTCTCCGAACTCCTTTATAGCCTCTCTAGCCCTTTTTTCCTTCTCCTTTTGCGGGAGAGGTGCATGCTGAGTAAACATTCTTCATAGTGGATGGCTCTGCGGTGATTCTGTCAGGATGCCACAAACAGGAAAGGCATACAGAGTGGGAAAAACTCTGGTGGGGGGAAGGTAAGCCATCCCTGAACTCCACTTCCCAGGGCCCCACTCAAGACCCTAATGTTTTTGTTTACAGCACTTCGAATAGTAAATTATGGAAGCTTTGGACAACAAAACTGCCTTAAAAAAAAAAAACCACAAAGTTGAGCTGGGTGTGATGGTGCATCCTATAATCCTAGCACTGGAGAGGCTGAGGCAGGATAACTGCCTAAGCTAACATAGTGAGTTCAAGGCTGATTTGCACTATATAGTGAAATTTTGTCTCAGAAAACCAAAAAACCAAAGCTATAAAGACTTTGTGCCTGAGAGCTTATGTAGTAAAGCCCTTTCATTTCAAATGGGAGAGCAGACAGTGTACATCCAGGTTTACAGCGCCATAAACAGGGCTGCTTCTTGGGTCCAGTCCTCAGCCAGAGAAGAGCAAGCCAAGACCCACTGCTGGAAAGACAAAGAAGGCAGCTTACTGGAAAGGGGGCGCTGCTCTTCCAACACCAGCACTTCAATACCAGCGGCGGGTATGGGTCAGATGTCTCAGAAGCACATTTAACAAGATCTGCCCGCGCAGTATCACCCAAAGAGCCTTACGTGAGATGAGGTCAAAACACTTCCTCTCCTCAGGGTTAGTCTTCACCTGGCAGGTCAACAGGTTGAGCTTTGCAGGAGGCCGGTTAGCCTGGGTGCAACAAAGGACAGAAGGTGAGAGGGCAGAAGTGAATCCACCCCGCTCACTTCTGGGGTTACACGGCCAGGATGGCTGGGCTCTCGTTTGTCCGCAAAGCCACCCTGCAGAAGGCTGACTTCAGTGACCCCGGACCTCAGCAGGTGAAGAGCGGTCTGCAGGCACGTGGGGTGACACATGCAAAACCCAGATGAGGGGGGATTCCCTGAGCCCAAAACGCTCCAGGATCCAAACCCTACAACACTGTGCTCCGATCCCACAACAGCACAGTGGTTTCAGGGGATGACACGGGCACCCAGCATGGCACCTTGAACTCTAGTGAGATTTTCTGAGCAGAATGCCCACTTCCAGGAAAGTAATCTCAGCATGAGAGTGGTGAGATAACGATCCTCCCTGCTTTCTAAAGGACCAGCACACAATTGATTCATACCCTGAAAGCCAATCCTTAGTCTCTGATAGTCACACAGAATGCACTGCATAGACGCTCCCCAGCCACACCCAAGGAATCACAACACACTTGTCAGAGCTGTGTCAGAAACAGCTGTTCACTTCAGTTTCAGAAACTATCGCTCTGACCCTTGTTGTGGCTTGTGTCCAGATGTCTCCCCAAAGCCTCATGCAGACAGAGGTGGGGCTCTTGCAGAGTGGCTGATCTAGAGCGTATGACACTGGGAGGGATTCACGGTGTAATGTGAGGTTCAAGGGCACTGGGGGTGAGGACGTGAGTGCTGCCCACCCTGCGTAGTCGGGATAACAGGGGCAGAAAGACACTGTGAAGGTCCCTGTTGCTTTTGTTACCTCCTGCCCACCATGAACTGTATCTCCTCTATGTCACTCTGCCTCCAAGCCAGCTGATGATGGACTGAAACTTCTACAAACTGTGAGCTAAATAATCCTTTTCTCCTCTAACTTTGGGTATTGAGTATTTTGTGTCAGCAACAAGAGAAAAGTAACTTAAGACAGCCCTGAAGTGCAAAGGGAGCAAGATAAGATTAATTTCAAAAATAGAAATTGTGAATGTCAAATGTGTTAGAAACCTTGGCAAACTCTTCTCCAAATACCAAGCAGCTTGCCTTACCTAGCAAGCTGCTAAGAGAAAGAGCAAAGGAAGGTACCATCTATTTCAATCATTCTTCTTCTCCACTTGCTCTGGCCACAAGCTGCTTAGATGTGGGATCCATCCATCTGCATCTGTAATGGGGCAGCCATGGGAGCCCATGCACCCACAGACCCAAGAGGTCTACAGAGCAGGGGCATGGAGAACACCCTCCTTCAAAGGGTGTGTGGGATGCAGGCTCCAGAAGGGCAAGGGATTTGAAGTCTAGGTGCTCAGAGACTCCACACAGGGGCTGCCCCAGACTCTCCTGGTTTGTGTCTGTACCAATCTTATCTCCCACACGTGGGTCTCCTCTGGCACCTGCTGACTCTTAACAGAACCCTGGGCTTGTCAGACACCAACTTCAGAAGCCCTGGTGAGGCCTCATCTTGCAAACCTAGAGAGCTCTGGGCAGAAGCACCAGCCACCTTGGATCTTTACCAATAGAACAACTGGCTTGTCCAGGACCCAACATATGCATGGCACACCACTACTGTGAGGCACATCCTGCGGGGATGGGAGCAGGCACGCCAACACAAGTGTCCACCCATGTGACAGTGATCACCGTCTGGTAACCACAAACCAGGCATGGTTTCCGAGGCTACTTCCAGACCCAGAGCCAAGAGCTGAGGGGCCAGTACCTGTCAGTAAATGCAGAAGTACCACAGGAACCTGATGAGGACTGAGTACGAGGAATATATCCACTCAGTTACTAGTCTGTACTTTTATGAGGCAAACATTTTCTTGAATTAATTCAACCAATATTACTAACTGCCACCTTCTCTGTGGGGATTGAACTCATGGCCTTTGCACTGAGATACATCTTTCACGTGTTTATTTTGAGACAAGAGTCACAAAGAGTTCCTTAAATTGCCTGGGTGGAGCTCACACTTGCAGTCTTCCTGCCTCAGCCTCTGAGTGCTGGGGCTGCAGGTGTGCACCACCATGTCTGGCTCCGGTTGGTCTTCGGTGTTAGGAGGGACTCCAACATTATAGATAAAGTATGGTTTGGACAAACGAAATCCTGACTGGTGGTCTGCAGCTGAGAAGCAGGGATGCAAGGCCTCAAGGGCTCAATTGCCAGGCTGCTGGGCTCAGCATGGTACCGGAGAAGGCAGCTGCTCATTCAGACCCACCTCTGGGGAGCAAAGAGCACCATTACAATCATTATGGCCCTCCCTGCCCATTAACTTTCTTTTTTCTCCATGATGTAAGGAAAGCTGCTCACCCTCTGAGATGACTACCCTCAAAGACAGACTGCCTTCTTTATAGCAAAAGCCCTCGAAAATATAGAAATGTGGATTAGGAATAGTTATAAAAGCAAGTATGTGGCTCCATATCGAAACAGACCCCAGAAAAGTCAACAAAGTCACGCAGCTGGCACTCCTAAGCAGTTGTCATTCTCGATTCTGTACCAAAAACTGCTTGCTAGTTGCCCATTCCATTATTAGTTCATAGCAAAGCCAGACAAAAAGTTTATGGGAGAAAATTCTGCTCACCAAATTCCCCTCATGCTGCAATTTGGTGAGATTTTTATTTGTTTGTTTGGGTACCAGGAATCGAACTCACAACCTTGTGCTTGCCAGGCAGGCACTGTGCTGCTAAGCTATATCCCGGCCCTCATGCAGCAATTTGGAAAAGGAGATTTATTCCAACTACCCAGCACTTTCATCTGACTCACAAGGTCTTCAGTGCTCTGCAAAAACCTGAGTTGAGAAGCCCCGGTTCAGTACAAAAGCCAGGGGTGGGAAAGAGCTGAGCCTTAAGTGTTTTTGGGTGCTTTAGGTTTTTTTCTGAGACAGAGTGTTACTTTGTAGCCCAGACTGGCCTAACAATCCTCCTCCCTTAGCCTGAGTGCTGAGGTGACAGGCATATGCCACTACCACACCCAGCTTACTGCTTGTTTTGAAGGCAAGAATCAGTAATGACTCTTCCAGTTTAATTCTGCCAGTCTACATTTTGTCAATTTGTTAGGCTTTAAAATTTTTTTTACCAGTTTGCTAAACTTTAAAGCTGTATTTTAATTGTCTGAAAGCCAGTAGATGGTTCTTCCACCTTAGCGCAGTCTCCAGCCTTGCTGGTGGGCAACACTGATATATGTTATCCAAGGGCCGATTCTCACCATGCCAGGAAGCATGATTACCTGTGGCTAGTGGGGACCTCCTCCCAGCCTGGGCACACCCTGCACACTCCAGGCCAGAAGAGTCCCCAGGATCCTGACTTCAGGGCTTGCAGCATGACACACAAGGAGAGGGAGTGCTCAGCATCTGAGTGGGGGGCTGGAAAGCAGGTATGGTGTCCCCACAAGATGTGAGGCCAGGGCCAACCACTGTCTCACAGCTGGTATGAAGCACTGACAGAACACACACACTGTGTGACAGGCCGAGCTGCTGGCATCCTGCTGAGCCTGGTCATGACTGCTGTAGACACCAGAAACCAAGGCAGCCCATGCCTAGCCCTGATGAGGGAGCCTCCTCGACTTCCGGCAGGAAGTCAAGCACTGGAGACTTGCAGTGAGGCATGCAGCCAGCGAAGGGTCTCCAGATCTGCTCCCCTCCATCCTGCAGCCAGAGCTACTGGCCAGCACGACCTAGGCCTTGGGGGTGCTCAAAAATGTAAATGTATTTCATCAGGGACTGGTGAGCTGGAAGAACATGAAATGAAACTTGGTCTTTATTTTGTGCATCAAAGTGGTAAACTTGAATGAAGAAAACTGGACAACAGAAAAACAAACCACAGAACCCTGGGTGTTTATACCAGTAAAGAAACCAGTCATCTCAGGGTCCCATGCTGTTAATTTTAAAGATGAAATAATAAGTAAGTAAATGAATAAATAATCCAGATGTGGTTAATTGTACCCCCCCCCCCACACACACACATACACACCTATGCACCTATCTTTATGGAAGGAGCTGCTCGGGAAGGCATAAACTGCAAGCCCTGTATCCAAGTTACTTTTCTCACTGCTGAGACAAAACTCCTGACACCCAAAGTTAAAGCAAATAAGGTGGGGCTGGGGATTTAGCTCAGCGGCATAAGCGCCTGCCTCAAAAGCAGTTGTGAGTCTGATCCCTGGTACCGGTAAAAAACGAAAAAAGCCAAAATAAATAAATAAAAATAAAGCAAATAAGGTTTATTTGACTCACAGTTTGTGGAGATTTCAGTCCATAGTGAGCTGGCTCCCAATGCAGAGTAGAAACAGCTACTGGTGGGCAGAAGGCAGCAGAGCAACCAAGGCCGACCCCAGCTCTTTCTGTCCCTTCTGTCTTATCTAGGCTGCTCAGGGCCAGCAGCACTCATACCCTTACCCTAGTGCCCTTGAGCCTAGCACTGCACCACTGAATCCATCTCGGCGACATATACTCTAGATTAGCCACCTCTGAAAAGGACACATGACTGCATAAGGTTTTGCAGGGATGTCTCAACACAAACCACAACACCCTATAAGGAGGTAGAATCACAGTTGTGTGGAGACTGCATTCTGGAAAAGGAAGGACCTGTGTTTGTCTGACCAAGGAACACAGTCTGTCCCCAGGCCAGCAGTTGCCAAGAGACCCTGTAGACTACGCTTGGTACATGCTGCCTTTGTATCTCCCTTTGTGCATAACAGAATCAACAAAAATGAAGGCACCACTCCCCACCCCGCAGACCACAACCTTTCAAGTGGGGCCTCATCTCATTACTCCCAAGTCCTGAGCAGGGCTGAGATGCAGGCCCCCACGCTGGCTGGTGCCCTTTGAAAACCCTGCCTGTACTTCTGCCCTGCCCTGTCATGGGATCACCATTGTCCACACCCATGACTGGGGCCAGCATGCACGCAGTGTTGGGTGTGTGCTAAGAAAGGGGGTAACATTGTCATTGCCAGGAGAACAGCAGCCAGCACTGCCCTGAGACAATTCCCAACTGTCACCAGCCTGGGTCACACCAGATGAGAAGCTGGAATGGGAAAGAACATGGTGCTGGGCACAGTGCATGGGACTGCCATTAAGGTTTCTGGTCTCTGAGAGCTAGACTGGTATGTAACTCTATTCTGATTGGAACTCAACACACACCATTTCTTGCCCAGCCCCATTTAAGCACAGTGATGGAAGGAAAGCCCAAATAAGGTTGGGTATAGTTTGTGATATTCCTACAAGAGAGGCACTGAAATCACTTTTCTTTCAGATTTTTGCTTCTTAGAGTTCTGACCACTTAACATTCTCCCGCTGGGGGAGATCAGACATCTTCCCCAGGGAGATGCAACTTTCTGGGAAAAGGATCATTATTTTACGGTTTGTGGAGGGATAGGCTTCAGGACAAAGACACTCTCTACACTGCTGAGCAGTGGAACACGACCAAGCTCCACCCAGCAAACAGCTCAACGAGGTGCAGGCCAAGACTCAACAATCTAAGAACTCTTCTAATAGGAATTCTTCCAAGCACCACCTTCGTGTGGCCATGCAAATGGAACGTTGGGCACTGGGCCAGGTGCCATCTAGCGACACACAGTAAGGACCATGGATGGAGAAAAAATACTTACGGTACCGTGGGATATGGTCAGAAAACCGTTCTTCACTGAACATTTCCTTTTCTGCCACACTTTTCGGATCCTTACAGATAGATGGTAAAAAACAAGTAAGCACTTAAGACATTTTGGACATGGGAGGAAGAGTCACACATGTCCCCTCCAGCACCCAGCACCACCGCCTACCCGTCACTTTTCTTGTAGAGGTTGCCGTTTCGCTCCGTGCCATGCTCCTTGTTTCCCTGTGGCTGGTGTAAGCTATATGCTGTGCTCTGGCGAAGCTGTGAATCCTACAGAATGGTAGAGAACCTGCTTTGTAACACACACTCTGGGCCCTGACTTTCTAATAAGCAGCACACAAAGAACATGTGTCCTGAAGCTGCTTCTCAATACCCGCTTCTAGCCACACCCAGAAAGGGACATGAAAGCCATCTATCACTAGGCCAGAGAAGGAACTGTCCAGAATCAGTGTTTCTGATACACAGAATGAGTCCCCAGACCCTGAAGGCTTTGTGACCCTAGAAGTTTTAGTCTCAATGACAACAAAACGCCTGAGGTGCCAAGCAGCGTCAGGATGGAAGGAATGTGACTATTGCAAAGGACAAGGGCTTTCAGACAAGACAGCAAAATCGTTTTCTGATTCATACAGACCAGTACTGCAGGCTCTGTGCCTCGGATTCTGGACAACAAGAAACAACATCCAGCAGGACAGCAAATCCAGACAGGGCACACCTGGTGCCCATCAGTACAGGTGGGCCATTTCCTTCCGCACTCTGTCTCAAGGCAGGGGCCATGCACCGAACCAGACTGCTCCCCTCCTCACCCTGGGAGCTGTCATCACAGGAAGTCTACCCTGGCAGCCAGCTGGGAATCCATGAGTCCACCACACGTAGGGATGCCACCCTGCAAGCATCACAGGGCTGGCAGCTTTGGGGAATCCCAGCACCCAAGGCCAGGTTCCGACCTCCAACAGGTTCAAAACAAATGACATCGCACAGCCCAAGCCAAGAGGGGACAGGGCTGCTGGGGCCAGAACTGAAGATTCTGGCAGACCAAAGCAACACAGCACAGCGAGACGAGAACAAACAGGCCCAGTCGGCCAGGTAAGGACTTCGATACGCCTGTTTCTACAAATCAAGAACTCGGCCTCTGTTCGAGCCTGGTCATTCCATAATGGGGAGACACAGAGACAATGAAATTCAGGGATTAGCTCAGGGAGCAGAGCAGAGTGCCAAGAGCAAAGGAGACACAGCTCACATCCCCGCTGCCTCCCTGGGGAAAGCCTCAAATAGGGCAGTGCTCCCTGATGACACCAAGCAGTGCCCACCCTCAGGGAATCTCCACCCACACCAGACAATGAAGGAGCTAAGGCGGGGACAGCAAAGTGACCTGGAATGAGATCGAGAGTCGAGCAGAGAAAACAACAGGGAGAGTTTGGAAGAAGTGAGCCTTAAGATGAGGACGAGGACTAGCAAAGCAGGAGAAAGGGCGCTCGGGGCCAGGGGATGGCACAGCAAGGCAGAGAAAGGGCAGAAGGGCAGAAGGGAGCCAGTGTCACCTGGAAGAGGGGACAACACCGCAGCCAAGAGGCAGAGTGCACAGGCCAGGAACAACAGACGGAGCCACCTGGATGCCCAACACAGTCACAAGAAGTTTTTAAAGCACAGGAAAGCTTTATTTTGATGCAGTTCAATTTATCTACTGTTCCTTCACACTTGAGGTCCCCTGTAAGAAATCAATGCCAAATTCAGTCGTGTGGATCTGTATCTCTGACTGTCAAGAGTTTTCAGAACTTTCACTGCCACACCGAGTTCTTCAATTCACTGTGAGTTATGGCGCAAGACAGGATTCACATTGATTCTTTTGCCTGTGGCCATCGGGCTGTCTCCATACCACTGCTGAAAAGACAATTCTCTCCCACGCTGTCATGGTGCCAGTGACCACGATGTAGGGGTTTCTTTGTAGCCTCCCCTCTTTCACTGGTCAAGCTGCCTTGCTTTATGCCAACACCACACTGTGTTGATTGCTACAGCTTTGTGGCTAAGCTTTCAAATCAGGAAATCTTCCCACTCTGCTTTTCCAAGTTAGTTAATTCTTGGGCTTTTGCATTTCCTTAAGAATTCTAAAATCAATTCATCAATTTCTGCAAAAGCCAGCTGTGGTTCTGGTAGAGACCACATGGAGCCTATGGACCCACTGGGGGAACGTGGTCACTGTTACCCTGCTGTCTCCCCATCTACAAGTGGGAGTGTCTGGCACTGACTTCCTGACTTGGTATGTGCGAACACCTGAAGATACAGAAACTCCTCACCCAGGAGGTGCTAGGGCACTACACACTGTAACCTGAGAGCAACTTGAGCTAGCAGAGGCCCCCACAGCACTCAGGCCCAGGGTGACCAGAGAGCAGCTCACAGCACATGGGTTTGTGAGGTGAGGATGTCCCTGACTCCCCCTTCTCCCACCAGGGCTGCACCTCAGCACCAGAGATACGGAGAAAGCCCTCCTGGAACACGCTAGGAGTAACTCTGTGGAGGGAGGCCCAAAGAGACTGCTCATCTGGATGACTTCCAGACCTATTGGAAGATGAAACTGCACAACCAGAAATACATCAACTGACTTAGGGAAAAGAAAACCCTTGCAGGCCGGAGATTTAGCTCAGCGGCATAAGCCCCTGCCTGGCAAGTGCAAGGTCATGTGTTTGATCTCCAGTACCAAAAGAAAGCCCCTGTATAAAGCTGGAGGTGCAGTCATGTGACAACACTATGGTGCGCTTGTGCCACACACTTGGGAGGCAACCGTCTGCAGGTCTCAGAGCAGAATAAAGGGCACTGGCCTTTCCTCTACAGAGCTAGGCTTCAGCCACATGGGAAGAAATGTGGGATTCTGCCTTATTCTTTTCTTTAGACCAAGCATTTCCTCTTTTTTTTTTGAGACAAGAGTCTTGACAAGTAGTCCTTTTTTTTTTTTTTTTTGAGACAGTCTCAACATGCTAGCCTCCCAACTCTCACTGATCCTCCTGCCTCAGCCTCCCAAATGGTTAGATTTACAGCCGCACCCCATTACACCCAACCAGTCTTGAATCAATCTGAACACGCAGACAAATCTGAAGGTGAGCTACTGTGTAAAATTTAAAATCCATAGAACAGAGAAACTTTAACATAAATTGAACCTGCTATCACCTTTGGCATCCTCAAGGTGACCTCCAGGTGACCCAGCAAAAGCCTTCTCCACCTGAATAAATGTCCAACCAAGATGCAATCTAATCAATCTAATCACCCCCTCCCATGGCGGGGCATCTGGGGAGAAGGGGTCCTGGCTGGACCCACAGTAGGGGAGCTGGGGAGGCCAGAAAGGAGCTTCCAAGGGACTAAAAGAATGCTCAGAATTCAGCCCTGCTAAAGGGAGGGATGACAGAGCAACAATGCAAGTATGAACCTGGGAAATTCCCCTTGTTGCATGCAAACACTGTGGCCTGTAGTAAAATCTACTACCAGGGTTGAAATCTGAAGTACTACTGGCCATGAAGACACATGAAGGAACAAAATACACATTTTTGAAGTTCATGAACAAGTCATGCAAAATTCTCCAATTTATTAAAAAAAGCTGGACTACTTACTCTCCTAGACTTCGGTCACAAAAGGTAAATGCATTTGGGAGAAAAACAGGAATATTCAGTTATAGTACAAGAACTTATGACAAACTGCCAACAGTGAACTTTGTGCTCTGTTAAGGAGTTCGGTAGCCATTTAGCTAAGATCTAGTAGATAACACTCAGGCAAATTCCCTTATTAACAAGGAAGTACACGTATGTTACCATTGCATTTTATCCCAGCTATTACAGAGGCTAAGGCAGGAGGATCACTTGAGCCTATGAGTTCAGGGCCAGCCTAGGGCAACATACTGGGATCCCATTTCAAGGCAAGGAAAAATACACATTATAATACCCACACTGTAGCAAACAAACCATAAAATTACCTTTAAAATGCACCTTTTACAGGTTCTTTTCATAAGCCCCCCTAAAAACCGGCCAGTGCATGAGCCCACAAAGCCGTCACTCTGTGGAGAAGCCACAGATATCTGCTCCAGGGACATAGCCGGGACCAGAGCTGAGGCCTCACATCGTGGGCAGGCTGGGAGAGAGCCCAATGCCACCCACTCTGCGCCCACCCAGAAGGGCAGGGTCATAGCTACACACATCAGGGCAGGTGAGTCAGAGCCCAGGGAACAAAATAAACAGCACAAATGGCAGCGGACACCATGAGAGACACAGAGAACTACGTGCGTGGCAGGTCCAGAAGCATGAGGAGCCCCAGGGGATAGGAACTCAGGCCTCCGGCCAAACCTCCAGGATGCAGGGTGAGGGGATTGCACCCAGGGCTTTCCACCTAAGTCACATCCCCAGTCCTTTTTTACTTCCTTTTGTTCTGGTTAAGCTGCTAACTCGCCTATGCTGAGCTTGACCTTGTGATCCTCCTGCCTCAGCCTCTTCAGAAGCTGAAATGCACACTCACGCCCAGCTCAGATGGTATTCTGTCAAAATTAAATCCCCTCACCTCTTTCTGCTCCACCTGCAGTGCTGATTTCAAAATATCTCGAAGCTGTATGAGTTGCTTTCTTTCTTCATCCTGGGCCTGCTTGATCTTTAGGAAACAAATGAAACAGGAAAGAGTCAGCCTGTGGCAGCTTCCCCCACATGTCTCTGGGGATCCCCTCCCTTGTGGTCACCCCTCCCTGTGGCCATGGCAGAGGACGATGGTGGGCAGGATGGGGCTCTTCCTTTTCTAGGTCCCTGCTTGAAAACCTAAGGAAAATGCAGGTCACCCAAACCCGGCCCAACACCCAGGAGGGAAGAGGCTCACCGTGTGCAGGTCTGTGGACAGTGTCTCGATGGAGGGCTTGAGGCTCTCTACCGCTTTCAGTCCGTCCTGGAAAAAGCTGAGGGAAGACATGAGGCAGAAAGTAGGGTTCTGTCAGACAGAGAAAAACCTCAGAGCGAAGCGACTGTGATCATTCTATGGTACCCGGAAGACAAAGTCTGGGTGAACAGAAACCTAAATAAAATGACACTCAAAACTAGAAGGACTAGAAAAGAAACTGTAATAAACCCGAGCCTTTGTGATTTCTCCTGACCCACATAAAATGAGATATAAATTTTTCTTCTATAATGGGAAATAGGGGTCTACAGACATTAGCAAAAAGGAAATTGACTTGGGAGTCAACTGAGTGGCTGAAGGAAGAGTAGATAGGGTGCAAATGAGAATAAGACATTGGAGAAGTGGCCAAGACAGGCAACGCCTTAGTGCAGAAGAGGAAGAAGGCAGGAAAAGCCAGGCAGTGCCAGACATACCAATGGCTTCGTGCCACCCTTAGAAGAGGAGAGTGTGGTGAGGGAGCTGAAGGTTAAACAGCAAGTCTCGTTCCTAAAGCTCAGAACCCAGTATGTGAGGTCATGGATGGCCAGACTTGGAAAGGAAACTTGGGGAATACCAGGGAAACAGACGAGTTCCCCAGTGACAGACAGCTGATCGGCGCCACCCACGAGGCATGTGGTGCAGGGCTCTGCAGTCCCCGTGGGCTGTGGGAGAAGCTGACATACCTGGCTGCCCTGTGACCCAGCCCTGACCCACGAAGTCCACAGGCTGCAGGTCCTCGCTCTAGAGGAACCTGCAGTATATCATCTTGCCTGGCTGACTGCTTGTTCTTCAAGTTTTGTTTTGTTTGGTACTGAGGATTGAACTCACGACCGAGTTTTCCAAGCAGGCACTTACGCCACTGAGCTAAACCCCAGCCTTGTTCTTCAAGTTTTAAGATAAATACCCCTTTGTGACCCCTTCCTTAAATCCCACCCTAAGAGTTCTCCTTGGGCCAGGCATTGTGGCACATGCCTGTATTCCCAGCACTTGGGAGGCTGAGGCAGGCAACATTTGAGGCCAGCCCAGGCAAAATAGTTTAAGGACAGCTTGGACTACAGAGTGAGACCCTGCTTAAAAATAAAAGAGTTCTCAGGGTAGACCTTGTGCTTTGTTCCAAAGTGCTTCCCATGGTGTCTCAGGAGTATGATTGTTTAACATATACTTTACCCATCACACCTGGAGATTCAGGAGAAAGGGTCCTGAGATCCACAGTGCCTGGCATGGGTGGCAAAGGTCAAAGGCACAGAAGTCACCAATTCTGCCCCTGGACACTACAGAAACCAGTTGCAAAATGTGATCTGCCTCTCATGTGTTTATGTTGGATTTTTTTTTTTTGGTCTTTTCAACCCGTAGGACTTCCCACATGGAGGGTCATACACAGATGGCCATGAGAACAGTGTGGCCGTGCTCGGTGGCTATCCCAGGAGGGAGGGTGGGCACGTGGGTCGGGAGCTTAGCAGCACCAGAGTCATGAGGCCAGGCAGGGAACAGGTCCTAGCCTGGTCCGTGAGGTGCATCCTCCCCACACATCTCACCTAACCAAGCTTTCCCCTGCCACAGCAACCGAGTCCAAGTGTCAGCGTGATCCCCCAGGTGCCACGGCACGAGCAGAAACACAGGCGCTGCCACCTCTGCCTCTTCTTCCCCAGCACCATGGCAGCACAGTGCACACGCATCCTCTGCACGATAGGTAATTCGGGGAACACTGCAGTGTCGGAGGAGTGAGAAACCTCTGTTCCCTTCTGTCGGGTGTGTGGCTTTTTTTAGATAACTATTTCCTCAAATTGCTGCAAATTCATGGAAAATTGGCAGGAAGAGAGAGGGAGACAGAGCGCACACAGTACTACACTGGGGAACGGATGGAGATCATGCAGATAAACCTGACAGCTTTGAGGGCCGAGAACACAGGGTAGCGATGGTTGAGTGCTGCCATGACTGGTGATTCCCTGCATGTGACAGGCCTGGGGCTGCATCCAGCACTCGCCCTGCCACACACGTCATTTCTGGTGTGGCACCAGACCATCACCTGGAAAACCTCCTCCCTGGGATCTGCAGTCCCTCACTATGGAGTTCAGGCTGGCCCCAAACTCATGCAACCTCTTTCTTGCCTCAGCCTCCCAAGCACTGTATTACCAGCAACACTGCAACAATACTGCATCAGCTCAACCACATTTGCAAGCTGTAGAAATGCACCTACCTACATGCAATCACCAGCCCTTCTTTGCACTCCCCTTCTCCCGGTAGGGTATCTGGTCCCCACCACAGGTGTCACAAATCCCAACACTCTAAGTCACCGAGGGTCTGTGTGTGCCCATCCTAGTCCCTCCCCCACTTCTCCCACAGGAGCACCCCTCTCAGGGCTCCTGCTCCCATGTCCCTCTGATTTAGCACCCCAAATCCAGCAAGTGACAGCTGCCACTGTGGGCCTCGGCAGGCTTGTGCTACAAGCACAGGTCAACTCAGCCACCCCAACTATTCCAGGCCATCCTCTTTCTCCATTCCACAGAGAGCAGCTTCCTCCCCCCAAGCAGCACAAGCTAAGATGCATCTTCAGGATGCACCAAGGATCCAGATGAATATGTCAATTCAGATGTCAAAGATAAAGAACCTGACATATTCTTCACAAATGCAAGTGACAACAAAAGGCCACTAAAAGGCAAAATCATGTACATCTCAGTACTTCTGTGGGCCACCCGGGCATACTTCCAAGGGGCTGGGGACACAAGGTGGCCTGTCACTGCCCTGGAGGACAGGCTGGGGTGGGGTAGATGAGCCCTAGGCTGAGAAGTAGACATGGGGCGCCTGGGAGGGGACATGTGGGACCCTTTGCTTCAGGCACAGGCACAGCCCTGAGCTCCTGCAGTCCAGAGGCCAAGGCTCTCAGGCTCCAGGTTTTACATCCAAAACATGAATTAAAACAGACAGAACTGCAGGACTGATCTGAGGAGCGTGTAGTCCCAGACGCATTCTCTCCTGCTCGCTCATCCCAGAGGAAGTCTTGGGAGATTCGTACTTTAAAAGCTTACCACGCTCATGCCCAAAAAAGGCCAACTAGTTCGATTTTCCATGAGAAGTCTGTTGCTACCCAACTGACAGTTTGGGCAAAATAAAGAAGAAAAAGGAAACCTCAGAATAGCTTCTTGCTAAAAATAAAATATCAGCAAGGAAGCGACCCAGTTCCTACATTGCCTCTGGCCAGGTTATAAAGTGAATGGAAGAGGTGATCTGCATGTTACCATCAGAGGTCACAGATAGGAGCTTGAGTCTCTGTCAAAGAATTCTTGGGGGCTGGGGATTTAGCTCAGTGGCATAAGCACCTACTTTGCAAGCAGATGGTCATGAGTTCAATCCCCAGTACCGATAAAAAAGAAAAAGACAAAAAAAAAAAAAAATTTAAAAGAATTCTGGAAAACGCTTTAGGCCACTCCTCCACAGCCCAGCTGTCTGTCCCCAGGACTTCTGCACAGGCACCTGGACCAGGAGAATAAACAAACAAGCAACATGGCCCCACCTCACAGGGAACAGAGGCCAACCTGAAGATGATGGCAGGGAGGTGCAGAGGACAAGGGATCTCCTGGGGGGATGAGAATGCTCTCAGGGCTGTGAGAAGGATCCTATGGTTTTTCCCTTACGTGAAAAACCCAAAATAGAAATAAGGTGCAAAATAAAAGATAACAGAAAACTGGGAGATGGATCTTTTGCAAACAGAAAGAGGCCATAAAAGAACTAAGATGTGTTACATCCATTCACACATCCACCCCTCATGAGGAATGTGACTGCTGTGTACTGCAAATGTGCTCAAGAAAGAAATGACTGAAAAGCAAGAACCACTCCAGCAGCTTGGCTCCAGGGACGAGCAGAGGCTGGGGATGGCACAGGGACACAGTGTGACAGTCTAGGAAAAGGCACATGGCTGGACACGGCCTGGGGGGCAGAGCAGAGGTACCTCGGTGACTCACTCCACACCTCCCGTCCTGCCAGTTCAGACCAGCCACATCCAGTTTGTGGGTCCCTAAGTGACAGCCCACATCCCCTCCTGTCCCATCTGACTCCTTCCTAAGTGGTCTCCCTGCCTCTCAGCCCCCTTCCCTCAGGTTGAGGGACTCCGCTCACTACCTGCTCCTTTCCAGCCTCCCTGAGGAACCTGTGCCTCCTGGGGGCACAGGGCTCAGCCCCACAGAGTGAATCCTCTGTGCGCACAGGTTCTGTGGCTCCCAAGCACCAGGCCACAGCCATCACTGGGGATGGGATGTCACAGCACCTGCTTCTCTGGGGGGTTTCCGTCCACTTCGGTTTCACCCTGGTCTGGCCTTTCTCTCCTGCACCCCACACCCCAACCTGCTGGCTCCCATTTGTCCACTGGACAGCGGAATGCAGGTCCTGCCCAAAAAGCCTGCAGTTAAAATAGCATCTACCCCACATCTTCATCTGAGTTGGGTTTTTCTATTATATCCTCCTATTTTTCCTCAGGTTTATATACTTCAGAATCTCTCTCTCTCTCTCTTTTTTTTTTTTTTGGTGGGTATTGAACCCAGGACCTTCACACTGAGTTATATATAGCCCCAGCCCTTTTCTGTTTTGACACAAAGTCCTTCTAAGTCACTAAATTGCCCAGCCTGGGAGTTCAACTTGAGATCTTCCTGCCTCAGCCTTCCAGAGTGCTGGGGTGACAGATGTGTGCCACCACCCCTGGGGCTCAACACATTTTGTGAACATCCAGTTGGCCTAATTTCCCAAGATGACTTTCTGGGTGGAAACGTGCATGTGCCACCTCCCACATCAGCCTGCGATCAGTGAGAGGTCCTCAAGTGAAGCAGGGAGTGAGGGAGGCAGGCAGGCGGGATCCGTTCAGCGCAGGGCCCAGGATCAGAGCCAAGGAAAGACAAGGCAGTGGATTTCAGTACATTCACAAGGTTGTCCATCGGCGCTAACTCCAGCACTTTCCCAATACCTCGGAAAGCGACCCTAGGCCCATTAGCAGTCATTCTCCACCTCTTCCCTCTACATGCTGAAGGCACCAATGAGCTCGGGTCTGCTTATCTCTGGCCTGGCAGGTTGGCAGGACCATGCAGGACGTCACCGCTGTGCCCTGATGCCTGGGGTTAGCACGATCCTGAGACTCATTCAGGTGGCAGGCACTGGTCCTGGTCAGGCACTGCGTCCCTCTGGCCAGATTTCTAAGTGAGTGTTCATTCTCGCTACAGTGCTCCAGTTTACCAGGAGTTGCCACACACAGAGAAACACTCGAGAGGAGAAAAGGACTTACTTGCACTGGGCATGGAAGTATTTGATCAGATTCTGAAGTAAATCCACTCCTTTTTTAATCTTGATTTCATTCACCTTCAGCAAATACTGTTAAGAAAAAAAGGAGGAACTGTCATGGCAATGAGCAGACTATGAGCTTTATAGGAATTTCTGAAGACAGTTATTTCTTCTATTTCTCTGATGCCTTCTACCTTGGGCAGAGCTCATGGCAGACACCTTACGTCTCTTTTTCTTAGACAAGGTCTCACTGTATAGCCCAGACTGGCCTTGATCCTCCTGCCTCAGCTCCTGAGTGCTGAGGTTACAGATGTGCACCACTACACCCAGTATAACACCTGATGCCATCCAAGAGCCAGAACAGAACTGAATGCTTCTCTTAGGTACCAAATGAGTTGTCTGCTAATTGGGTAATAAAATGTTTGACAGTCAAGAAGCCCTTCTAAGAGGACGTTCCCCCAGCCTGCTGGGAGAGTGCTGCTCTAGATGCACAGTGGAGTCTCCATCCATCTCAGATCTTGCTGTGCACGAGCTTCTGCCCTGGCCCCTTCAGGGAGGCGGGTCATCATCCAAAACTCCAACTGTGACCATTCTTGAGCAGATACCTTTGTCACCATGCCAATGGCAAGACACTTCCCCAAATGTGGCTGTTGAAGAGGCAAGCTGTACACTGGAATGAGTTAAAGCCATCTCTAACTTGGAGAATTCATTAATGACCGTGGAGGTAGCAGGAAGGCCCAGTGATCTATAAAACCAGCATCAAGAGATTCACTCCTTCCCTCCTGCAGGCATACAGATATAGACCCCATAGGTACCCTAGCCCCTCCTCTGTGGGATGTACCGTATAAGACCCAAAGAACACTGCATCTTTGGGACACGATGTCCTGCAAAACTAAGCCACACAGTGTGCCAGCTGTCACATGGGATGACCCCACGTCTAGTCTCCCCCAGGTCAGCCAGGCAGCCCAATAAGGGACAAGAAGTTGCCACAAAACCATAAGCCACCCCCCAGACCACTTTAATAAGAACTTCCTGTAGGTCCTCTAGTCACTTTTTTTGGTATCTTTCGCTGTTAACTGGATGTCTGGCAATGGATCAAAATGATACATTTGTTAATAAAATGTCTGGCAACATACCAACCCATAAAAGGCAGGTACCCTTCAACTCAGAAATCCTATTTGCAGAAATTTAGGAATTTTAAGGAATAACCATAAGTTACAAGGATGCATAGATAAAAGTGACTGTGGCCCTGTGCCAAGGGGCACTACTGTGGGAAGGAGTCGCCACTGGCACTTGGGGCTTTGCAGGCCACTACGGGAGCAGACCCCAGGTGAGGTGGGAGCAGTGCCATGCACCCCAGCAACAGGCATAGAGGTAGAAAGGCTGCAGGGGCAGTCTTCCTGATGCTGGAGTCTCTGATCCTGCCCGAGACAAGGCTGAGGCTGGGGGGCAGGAGCACCCCAGGGCCCAGTGGGGGGCTGTGGAGTCCAGACATGCTCCTCCCCCTGGCACTGTGCGTTCTCCTAGTTAACTCCTCTCCTCTCCCCTCTGCCTCTGACTTCGCTGGTGCAGTGGGAGCCCTGATCCCGCATGAAAACCACTGCCGTGGAGAGGACAATGGTGACTTGGTTCATGAATTTAATTCTTTCCATGATTCTAGTTGCAACCAAACTGCAAACACACATGTATGTACACCTGTGTTTACGGATGCACAACTCAGTATAGCCACATGGTGGAAGCTATTATATCCATCAACAGATGAACGGACAGTGGGAGGGCGGTGCTCACACACAACGGAGTACTATACTGAAACAAAGTGAGATGAACCGGCCACTGGTGGAAAAGTAGATGCACCTTGAGACTGTGATGTTCACTGAAACAAGTGCATATTTACCACAGGTTTATAGACTGCATCGTTTCTCTTAGGTGCAAAATACAAGAGATAATACAGCTGAGGATATAGCTCAGTCACACAGCACCTGCCTGGCAAGTACAAGGTCCTGAGTTCAATTCCTCATACCAAATAAATAGGTAAATAAAAATTAAAGAGATAATAGTGAACAGGTAGACACTTTTAGCAAATGGAAAAGGAATTGAGAGATGCAGGGAGGGGCAAGCGGGGACAGGGACGTAAAAAAGAATTAAGATGTGCTCTGCACACATGCCAACCCCCAGGATGAGTATAATCCCTATGTACTGTCAACCATTCTTTAAAAAACAAACACTGGCGTTAGATGAGGTCAATACCACCCTCCTCTCCCTAGCAAAACAGTGACAGAGCACAGCAACCCCCAGGGCTGGGCGTCCTGGTAGCCACAGGTCTGACCCACTGGGGAAGTCATGGTGCCCACTGAGCGGCACAGGACATACTGCCTGCCACAGCGGGAACCTGGCCTGTCCTGCACGCCTCACCTCACACATCTGGAGCTGGAAGAAGCGCCGCTCCTTTTCCATCTCCTCCGCGATCTCAGCCCCGCTTATTTCAGTGCGGATCATCCCGTGCAGCTTGGCGTGCTCCTTCTTCTCCTTCTCTATTTTGGTTCTGGGGGGGGGGGGGCAGCAGAGGAGTGAGGATCATGAAGCTTTTTGGGGTGGCACTGCTCACGGGACAGTCCCTGCCTTCCAAGACCAGGCTGCCGAGATAGGATGCTACAAGCAGTCTGGGCCGGAAGCCATGCACAGTGACTGTGATGGCAGCAACTCCAGGGATGGGAACAGAAGAGTCTCCTGAATTCTGTGGGGAACCCTCGGGGCTGGACTTCCTTTAGTTTTCCTTATTGTCCATCTCATCACCTGTTGTTCGCCTATTCAAGATTTTACATCTTCTTGGTTCAATTTTGGTAATTCATGTGTGTTTAGGTGGTTCTCTGATTCACCAAAACGTAACATTTCAAAGTAGTTTCTTACAATCCACTGGATTTTGGGGGCAGTTTTCTGCTACAATTTCACCTTTTCCATTTCTAATTGTAGTAAGATGGGCTTTTTTTCTTTCTCTTTTTGGTAGGTTAAGCTAAGGGCTTATTGATCTTGTTTATCCTTTCAAAAAACCAACTCTGTAATTCTCTGATCGGTTTTTCTTTTTGCGTACCAAGAATCAAACTCAGTACCTTGCACCTGCCAGGGAGGCACTGTGCTGCTGAGCTATGCTCCTAGCCTCTTCTGCTTTCCTTCTATTAGTTTCAGATTTGGCTTGGGGTTAATCGTGGGGTTATTTATCCAGAATTGTGCTATTCTTTTAATGTGGGTGGGTGTTCACAGCTATAAACTTCCCTCTCAGAGCAGCCTTTGTGGTGCCCCCTAAGCACCCTCATTCTGGGGGACCAGCAGACCCCAGTGGGCCTCGGTTTCCCATCTGTGAAGTGGGAATGCTGGCCACAGACACAGGATATGAAAGGGCAGGGATAAGGGGGGGGGGTCCTCTCTGTATGACCTTTGAGGTCCCCAGGTTTAACATCCCCCACCCTGGCCCAATGCAGGCCTGCATGCCATCCATGAAACCCCACCCTGGGGGCCAAGCTTCCTGTGACCTGGACAAACTATGGGGCAAAAGGAGCAGCAAAGGTTCAGTTCATACTGGGTTGAGCTTTGTGACTCTTTCCTACTGAAAAAGTACCCAAAGCTGGTTTTTAAAGAGCAGTTAAACACTTAGAGTCATCTCAAATGACCTCCTTCCTAACACTTCTCTCCTCACCACATGGCTTCAGATGACAGCTATTTCCATTCAAAAAGTCTCCAAGCTCCAGTGCACAGAGATTATAAAGTGAACACGAGTCATTTAAGAATACTTTCTGTTCTAACAGCACTTAAAATAACTGAAAGCCTTAATCCCATCAGTGCTAGCTCAGTGCTTACTAGAATCAGCCCCAGCCCAGATCGGAAGCTGGGCAAGAACTGTAAGGACAACGGGCTGCACCCAGCCAGGGCCGTTCGGCTACCTTCAGGAGTCAACTGCACCCGATCTCTTCTGGCAGATAAAGCCATCAGACAGGTGTTGCAAAATCTTTCTAAAACCCAGGGGGTGAGTAATTTTGGAGAAAGACAGTCCTAAAGCTAAAAGTAGACAACATTCACAAATCACCAGGAAGACAAAGTCTGAAGACATCACTCTCATGAACAGGGAGTAAAATGGAAAAACTGTTCAAAACAAGAAAGGAAAAAACCAAGGAGACAAACTGGCCTTGACTTCTGCCATGGTTTTTATGTAAAGCCCCTACCCCAGCCGCTTTCACTCAGAGGTGGTCTCTGAGGCTGGGAGTGCACATGGGTCTGTGTGGGTCCACTGATGAGTTTACAGCTAAATGTGATGTTGGAGGTGAAGCCAGAGGAGGAGGTCCCTGGGGTCGGGGCCTGGGACGGTTGTCTCTCCCTGGCTCCTCCCTTCTACTTCCTGTCCGCCATGCTATGAGTAGCTCTGTTCCCCAGGTCCCTGTGCCAGGCCCCTCTTGCCTCGGATCACGGACTGAAACTGAACCCAAATAATCCTCTCCACCTTTATGTCATGGGCATAGGGTACTGTGTTTCACCAAGGAAGGAAGTAGCCAATCGAACTTCCTTTCATGAACTTTCTGGAACATGACATTCTGTAACCACTACGACATCAGAGAAAAAGGGATAAGAAGCCGCCATCTTTGGATGTAGCCACTAGGTCCAGAGGCACCTGTCCTTACAAGCAACCACAGTGACATGGCTTGAGGTAAATTCTTCCCTGAATTAAGGCTGACTCACACAGTCCCTTTATGCAATCGAACTTGGAGTTAAAGCTAAAATCTCAAATTGCTGTACCCAAGTTCAGGTAAAAAATGAGAGCACTCACATTTTCGTTTCATAGTCCTTCCAAGCTTTGTCAAAGGGCTTTTTCAAATCCTGTAAACAGAGGCAGCAATTAAGCAGGACTAATCCTCAACTTCTGTGCAAGATAAACTGCCTTATCCTTAGGCTGGTCCCAAATGGGCATTAACTTGTGTAATACATGGTATATAGAGCCCCATGGAAAATAAACAACCCTGAGCACAGGCTTTAACTGAGACCAGTGGTCTCTCTGTCTCCTCACCCTCCCCGCCCTCTGTCACAGGACCTCTTGATATAGCCCAGGCAAGACTCAAACTCAGTTATCCTCCTGCCTCAGCCTTCCCAGTGCTGGGATTATACACTATTTATCAGAGAATATAACAAATGCACACAAAAGTAGAGAGACCTAGAAAATGTGCTCACCACCCAGTTATAATACTATTCCCAGCCCATCCTGTTACCTCGACTCTGCAAATATTTCAATTTTTCTCTACACAAAAGGAACTTTGAGTAGATCTGCTTGATGCTCGCACCCTGATTTGAGTCTAACAATCAGACTCTAGGAGCCACAGTCTCCTAGGGTATTTGCATCCTCTCCTGTATCTGCCATGTAGGATTTCAAAATCACAAAGCCTGGCTCAAACTACTGAAATCCCATCATTGTTTCCCACATAGTGACTCTCACTTGAAGAGGGTTCTTCCAGAAGTGTAAACCCTTCTTCTCCTGGCTCTTCAATCTGCCCCATCACTCCGCCACCACCCCCACAGCCTGGTGTGGAGCACTGTGTCCATCTGGGCCTGTCTCTCCTCTGCCCTGTGCCCTTCTTGCTGGGTGTCTGGCTGACCCCAGAGAGATCGGGTAATGCTTCTGGATGTCCCTGCAGCTCTCTCCTGGCATGCTCTATAAGCAGACACTGAGAGGTCGTGGCAGAGTTCCAAGATGGGCCAGGTGGGGCTTCTAGATGTGCCCTGGAGGGACACCCTTCCGCCCTGCCTGCTCCTGGCCCCCACTGCATTGCAGTCCTAGCCTATGCGCCCTTATGTGTATGCAGTTGGGCCTATTCCAAATAGGATGCCCTGGAGGACCTCATCTTTCCTAGGAGGAAAACCACTTTTGCCAGCACCCTCTCTCCAGCTGGAAAGCCACTTTTTCCTTGGGTTCCCCTGCTCAGCTAGGGGCCCAGAGAACTCCCCGCTAGTTCTCTCTGTAGGTTGTTTGCAGCCCCAATGGCACAACCAAAAAAGCCAAGAGTCACTGTGTTCAGGCCAAGAGCAGCGTCGACACACAAACCAAAGGACACAGAGAGACAGCTGAAGCCCTCCTGCTGCCCCAGGAAGGGGATGCTCATGTGGGGGCCACCGCAGGGCTGGCAAAGCCATGACTCCAGTGACACAGGACTCCAGTGTCGTACCCCTTTGACTCCTTTCAGGTCACCTTTCAGCAAACTGTCCAAAGGGAAGGAGATGATGTTGTTCATGTTTTGAATCTAAAAAACAAAAACAAGAAGAGAAGTCCTTCACTTCCACTTGAATCTAAAATAAGCAGAGTAAGTGGGTGAGAGAGGACCTTTGGTAATGATTAACCCTCACTGAAAGCTTGGCCAGCACCAGGCAGCCTTGCTCCACCCTCACTGCCCTCCTGGCAATGTCTTTACACACACACACACACACACACACACACACACACACACACACACGCAGTAGAGGCACTGGGTCTGCAGTTTCCACAGTAACAACCCTACCCTGGTAACATGCTATCAAGTTTGTGAAAAGACAATCTCTGCAATGGAGGAAAAAATATCCAGAAACAACCTGTGAGGAACCAACTCAAGAAAACATGGCTTCCGACTCCTCCTCCCTGCTGCAGCCCCACTGAACTGTGGGGAACCTGGCCCTGCTCCCCACAGGGGATGCCCAACGCAGAGACGGAAAGGAAGGCAGCCTAGGACTTCTGTCCTGCGAGTGACTGCGGGACGTGAGTTTGGAGAAGACAACAGTGTGCAAGGGTAAGAGTGGGGGGGGGGTGAGTGCAAGAGTCGGGTATGGGGACAAAGAGTGAAGACCCTGAGGGTGGATGGAAAGAGGCGCTGGGGCCTTGGTGCCCTCCTTTCTCGTTCTTCCTGCGGCAAGCAGGCAGGAGGCATGGGCTCGAGTGTCAGTGTGGACTGAGTGGGTCCCACCACTCCTGGCCCTCTCAGCCCACTCAGCCATGCTGGGGGTGGCGCTCACAGACCAAACCTGAGCAAACTGGAGGTCTCAATGGCCCGGCTAGGACAACACACCTGGCACAAACAAGCCTTGCCCTGAGGGTCACAAGACTCCCCCAGGTGGGAAATGAGGTCCAGAGCCATTCTGTACCCAACCACGGCCCCAAGCAGGACAGGAGAGTGGGCTCTGGAACAGCCCCTTTTCCTAATCCTTGAGCACAGGAAACTGATTTTTGGCACCACTGCTGTGAACAAGCTCTGGCACCGTCTTTAAGGCAGTATGTGAGGTGATTTCAAACACAGCTCAGCACATGAAACTTCCAGAGACAAAAATGCATTTGAAAAACACTATCTCCATGTGTGGTGATGCCTGCAGCAGCAGTCGGTCCTGCCAAGTTAAGTGACCTGTGAATGACTGTCTTTGCAGAAACGGGTTTTTCAGTTACCTCTACCTCAGGACAAACAGCTCAACTTGCCTGTCTGCCCTGGCACTCGCCCAAGGAACCGTGCCACCTGCTGTGACTTGCAGGGATCAGCCCTCAGAGTGAGACCTTAAACGCCAAAGGTCTGGTCAAAGGTGAGGTCTGGGGGTGACAGGAAGTGACTGGTGACAAATCCCAGGCCTGACTTATGACTAACCTCCACAGGGGCACACCCAGCCTTCCATGGAGACCCCCGTGTGTCTGCATAGCCACCAACCTCTTGTTCCACACTTCCCACCCCCTGGGTGCCCCACTGACCAGAGCTCTGGCCGCCTGGCTCCTGATGTCCTCCTCCCTGTGGCTGTCCCTCACCATCCTTCCTGTGGCTGGCCCTCGATGTCTTCTCTGGACTCCTGGTCTGTAGCTACGGTCATACCTCCCTGTACTAGTCAGCTGCCAAGTCCTCACAGTGCCCCCTCTATGCCTCTTGCCCATCCTGGGTCTCATTGTGGCCTCCCTAGCACTTCTCTGGACAGAGGTGATGATGGTCCTGCTCCAGAGTTCTGCCCGCTCCAGTCCTGCCAGACTCACCAGCAAACACTAGGCTTCCTACACCAAGACTATCCCAGTCCAATCTCACCGATACCTCACTTCGACCGCCTTATCACCTGCACACCAGGCAACCTGAAAAGCAGTGGCCACCTCCACTGCGCCCACGTATAACCCAGGGCTCCAAGCTCAAGGAGCCCCAGCAATGCTCCAAAGCCCCTGGTGGGGTAAAGCATGACAAGTCGGCACTTTTCTGAGCTTATGGTATCTGAGCAACGTATTCAACAAGGGCTTCCAATGAAGTCCTAGCCAGACCTTCCAACTAAACCCCATACAAGCAACAAGCACACCTGTGAATTCACCAATTTATCTGTCACCAAATTACTGACAGTTACGATGGGCTACGACATGACAACAGATGAAACATCACAATCCCACACCCCACCAGGGGACGACTGAGGACACACACAGAGAGAACTGCGTGTCCTCACCAGGCATGATGAAGCTGGGTTTAACCAGCCAGACCGACTGAGTGGCACTTGGGAGAAGGGAAACTACCCAGCAACCTATCCTGAGGTGCTGCCCAGTCAGCCACATGATCCCCAAAGCCATGGGCAGTCACAGGAATGGATCAGTTTGGGCCTAAATCCCCCATGGCCAAGGCTGTGTCACTGTGGACAAGGGACACAGATGCCAGAAGGATCACGGCTCAAGGCCCCAGCACAAGGCAGCTGTGTGATGGCTTTGGGCAAAGGGCACAAGGGGCTCCTAGGCTGAAGATGGTTTCTAAGCAGCATCTGGCAGGCTTTTCACTGAGGGCCTCTGCAGGGACAAATGACCAGGAGCAGGAGAAACAAAGCTCTCCACAGCAGGGAACCAGCATGTCAGTCTCATGCGGTTCACACATCTCTCCTTAGATGAGTTGGTGCTTCGCTGAAATCAGACACAGTGGAGAAGCAAACTTCACCCACACACACCCACGTCCTTGGCCTCTGCTTTCCATCTGCATTCCCCAAGGCCGTGAGTGGGACTGACCTGGGCTGGACGCTGGAGACAGGCCCTCCATCTCCTGTGAATTGGGCACAATCAATGACACACAAATTCAAGGACTCATTGCAGCTGTGGCAAATGCTAACGGGGGCGCACGCAGCCCTGGGTGGTGGCAGGAGGGTGCAGAGGAGCAGGGGTCTAGGACACAGGGGGCAAGATGGAGCCTGGGTCTGCAGAAACTCACAGCCTCCCAGGGGAGCCAGTTCATTTCAGTAAGTAAACTACCAAGGAAGGCTCCCTGAGCCTGAGAAAAACACCTGGGAATTTTGTAGAAAATTACTTTTAGCCCAAACTCCAGGGAAATCTGTTTGGCAGGGCATGAGGGACGGAGCTTTAAAGGACAGAGGAGGATTCTGCCTTGCCAGAAGGCAAAAGGAAGGACGTGGAGAGTGGGCCAAGGCCTGGTGTGGATGACGGGGCCTCGTTAGTGCTGGGGCAGCAGAAGATGACTGGTAGAAAGTGCTCTTGGGCACCAGGTTAACTGAGGAAGTCTGGGTTTCACTCAGCCAATTATTTTTTTTTCCCTTGGAATTACTCACATGAACTAAAATAGAAACTATTATTTTTCTGATTCAAACTGAAGTATTAAATAGAGACAGAAAGTAGATCAGTGGTTGCCCAGAAAGGGGGGGTGTAATTCACTGTGAGGACAGCAGGCACCCATGGCAGGGGGACAGTGTCCTGGAATGGATACATGGCAGGTCATGCCTGTTAGTACGATTGCCAGAGAGCTCAGAGTAATATGCTTGAAACAATATGTCAAATGTCAGATGTACTTCAACAAGCTGTTTGGACTGGAATGGAGCTTAGTGGTGAAGATGGAAGGCCCTGAGTTTGATCCCCAGCACAGGAAAAAAAAAAAAAGAAGAAGAAGAAGAAAAAAAGAGAAAAGGAAGCTGTTTGTTTATAAAAGTAATTGTGACAAATAGCAACAGCAGAGGTGATAAACCTCCCACACTCAGGGTCCTCCGCCTGCTTGGCCTCCACAGAGGAGTGCGGTGACTCGGGCCCCCTTCCCTGGGCCAGGCTAGAGGACAAGTGTGGGGAGCCAGAACTCTGTGGGGCAGGCCTGCAACAGGAAGGAAGCAAGGTCAAAATAACTCCTCACTCTGAGTGTGTCAGGAGGAGAAAACTGCAGTCTGAAGGTGATGCTTTGCCACATGTCAGGCTTCCCCAGCCTCGCCTATAAGTAATTAAATCTGATGGAAAGAGGTCGGCAGGCTGGGGTCATTCTGTATGGCCCTGAGCGCTGAGATGTTGTCGGCATCACTCCGATTTTCTTCCAACACATATGACATGTAAAATGCTTTCCCAAATAGCACACACATCTGAATACAAATCCGAACCCTTCATCACTGCTATTAGCTCTGGACTAGCAAATATGCCATCTTTTGAAATAGCAGCCCTCCCTCGCCTTCTTCCCGCCTGTTTGGCTGGACAGGTCTGACAAAAGGAGTCAATTAAGCCAAAGGTCTGCGATCTCACAGTACAATGAAAGGTCCTGTTTGCTGAGGTCAGGGACAAAGTCATCATGCTAATGCCACAGCTGATTCACAGGGACACAGCAGGGGAGGGCGCACACAGTCTGCCAAACAAGTCATCTTTTCACACTGTTCCTAATTACTTCTGGGCTTAAAATTCTTCACTGTGGCTCCAACACAAAGCTCTGGCTGTAGAGACTGCTCTGCGAGGAGACCCACCCCAAGAAGTGCTGGTCTGACTCAGGCACCCCAAGACTCCAACCTTGCTTGAGGGCCCATCTGCAAGCCTGAGCCCAGGGTCTTCATATGGCTTTCTGGTTTCAAGCATCAGCCACACACCACCAGGCAGAATCCAGCTCTACCTCACGAGTCTAGGAAAGCACAGGCTCCCTTGGGCAACTCCCCCTGCTTTCCACACAAAAGCCAGACAGGATCTGTATCTTTCATTTCAGACACCCCATTTGCAAGAAACTCCGAAGGTGGGAAAGACAAGGCTTTGAAATTTTTCTTAGCTTGAGCAGATGCTGCTGCACCACTGAGAAAACAGGAAAACCCAGCCTTCTGAGAAGGGCAGGTCATCTGCGTGCCTCGGGGAGAGGCTGGTACCTCGGGGTGGGTGCCGTGAGAACCTAGAGGCCGCAGCAGCCATCAAGTGCCGGATGTGTCCAGTCATTGAAGTGTTGGCCTGAGACCTGGGACCCAGTGGGCGAGGTGGAGGCCCCAGGCCATGTGGCATGCTGTCCGGCTTCCTGTGCTTCTCTACACTTAATGAGGATCA